CTCGGGGCGCCCAAGGACCCCCGCGGAGGGCTCACCCGGGGTCCTGCGCGGCATCGCTGCACCTCTCCCGCCCTCGGCGTCGGGCACCCAGGCCAAAACCGGAGACGCGTCTTCCCTCCGCCACCCCCAAACCTGAAAAGTCATCGCCCATCCCCGACTGTTCCACCGGTCTGGGAGCGGCCCCCCGGGCGGCCCTGTCCTCGCTCCTTGGAAGCCGTCGGACCGCGAGCCCTCGGCCATTAGGCCCTAGAACCGGGGCGGGGACCTGAAGGAACGGGGGGCGGCCGCGCGTTGCCATGGCGACCCCGGGCGCCCCCGAGCCACCCGCTGCCCCCGCCCAGCCCCAGGCCCGGGTTCGGGTTCGGGCTCCAGTTGCTGCCCGAGCCCTCGGTGCCCACCACCAGCAGTCCTCGCCCGGCCGCGGCCTTCAGCCTCGGACGGAGAGCGGGGCGTCCGCTCTCGGTCCGCTCCCCTTACCCATGGCGGCGGCGGCGCGGTCTCGGGCGGGGACGCCCTGGGCCCCGCCAGCAGCTCCCTTCAGGCGCGCGGCGGCCGCCACGGCGTCTGCCACCCGGCCCGCCGCGGCCCACAGCGCTCCCGGCGGCGGGAGGACGCCCGGGCGGTCCCGCGGCGCCGCGAGTGGGGCGGGGGGCCGCGCGGCCTGCCACCGGCGGGAGAGAAACCCGCCCTCGCCGGGCCTCCTCGCGTCCAGCCGGACCGGAAGGAGAAGGAAGAGGAGCGTGAAGGAGACCTCGCGTGTGCGGAGCCGGAGGCCCGGCCCTGGTCGGACTACCGACCTCTCCCCCGGGGGCTTCGCCAGGGCGCTGGGGCTGCTTTGCCAAGGGGTGCGAGCCACGTGCAAACGTTTTCGTCCACGCGGCGGCGGGGTTCATCTGATACACCTGACCGCTTCCCTTCACGCCTCACAAGGTCTTGGGGGAGCAAAGGAATTTAGAAGACCCGAAGCAATTAACAGGGGGCAGACCTCTGCTGCAACTAGGCAGCCCAAGCACGGCATTTAAACCAGTAAATGCACGGGCAGTGGGAAGGGCCGCACTTATCAAGGGGCAGACCTGTAGAGATAAAGTTAGCCTTTTCTCATTTCGGGGAGGAAGAAGAACCCTCGTGGTCAGATGACACTAGGTTAAGCTGTATCAGTTTGGGGAAAGTAAGCTATTACGTAGTTAGATTAGCAATTGTTAAGACAGTGGCTCAGCTAGAAAGACCGAGATATTTCGGCTCTTTTTCTCTTCATCACCTCGGCCAGTATAGTTTTATGTTTCTTTACCTCTTTTGGTTTTTTAATTTTCTTTACTGTGAGATAATGATACATGGAGAGAAAAGTATAAAACAAACCGTAATGAGCAGGCTATGAAGGTGCCCGCACGAGTCTCCTCTCCACAATGTCAGCTTTATTCAGTCACAAGGCAAGGTTAACGTAATTATAAAGCAAGTTCAGGATTTCAAACTCAATGACATTTCACCATGTGATTAACGTGGCTTCTTCCTAGGCACACAAAGCAGAACACAAGCCACACAACAAAAGATAACAGGGAGTAGGAAGTTAAGGAACCAAACAGGTTAGTCTGTGTGTGCCCAGCTGAGATAAGGCCTCGTCTTGTCAGGGCCACCTCCAGGCACTTACTGCTTATTAAGTTCTGTTCTAATCAATTAAGCAGAGCCTTCAGCCGTAGCTACCTTTTTATTTTTTTTAATATTTTATTTTATTTGACAGAAAGAGCGAGCGCACAAACAGGGGGAGAGGCAGGCAGAGGGACAGGGAGAAGCAGGCTCCCCATTGAGCAGGGAGCTGGAGGAAGGGCTCGATCCCAGGATCCAGGGATCATGACCCAAGCCTAAGGCAGACCTGCTTAACCGACTGAGCCACCCAGGCGCCCCAGCGGCTGCCTTTTTTAAGCGGTTAGACATAGAGGGTGTCTGAGGAGTATGACAGTTTGCTAAAAAAAAAACCTCCCTTTTTAACTAATGATGTACTATATGTTGGCTAACTGAACATAATAAAAAAATTTTTTAATTTAAATTTAACAAAATTTCGGGGCAGATCAGAGGCGCCTGGGTGGCTCAGTCGTTAGGCGTCTGCCTTCGGCTTGGGTCCTGGTCCCCAGGTCCTGGGATGGAGCCCCGCATCCGGCTCTCTGCTCAGCGGGGAGCCTGCTTCTCCCTCTCCCACTCCCCCTGCTTGTATTCCATCTCTCGCTGTGTCTCTCTCTGTCAAATAAATAAATAAAATCTTTAAAAAAAATAAATTTAACAAAATTTTAAAAAGAATAAACCTGCTGGCCTGTAAAAAACAAAAACAAAAACAAAAACCTCCCTTTTTAAAAAAGGATTTAATCAGTCTTAGGCCCCTGCAGAGCTCCTCTGCTTCAGCTTGTTATCAATTCTGGGGTACCGTCAGCTGGTGTTGGTCTTGGTGTGGGTATCTGATTAATGCAGTACCCTTAAGTGTTTGCGTCATTGCTTGACATGGGCCCTTGCTTGACATAAATGACTCCATCTTGCTCTCTACATACAGTTTAAAGAATCATTATAAAGTGAACAGCTGGGTGACCACCACCAGATAAACTGAGCACAGGATGGAGCCATCGTCCTTGGGAATTACCCCTAGCCACTACTCACCATCCCCCTTGAGGTAAATACCATTCTGGCTTTTATGAGAATCGTTTCCTTGCTTTTCTGTTTTCTGCCTTGCAAGATGTGCCCCTAAACCATGTAATTTATTTTTGTCTGTTTATAAACTTTTCACAAATGGAATAACACCATAAATTACTTGTTTCTTTTGTTAAGATCATCCATGTCCAAGAGAAGTTCCAGGTTGGGGTGTTTGGGGTGTTTCAAAGTTGTATATATATCCTTATGCCAATGTCCAAGAGTCATTAGAGCATATAATTAAGAATAGAATAACTGAAAATAAAGTCTGCCTTTCTTTAAATTTATGGGCGGGATGCCTGGGTGGCTCAGTAGGTTGAGCGTCCGACTCTTGATTTTGGCTCAGGTCATGATCTCAGGGTCATGAAATGGAGCACCCTGTTGTTGGGCTCCCACGCTCAGCAGGGAGTCTATGGAGATTCTCTCCCTTTCCCTCTCCCTCTGCCCTCCCCCTCTCATGGTCTCTCTCTCTAAAAATAAGTAAATTTTTAAAAAAATTTTTTATTTAACATATATTATTTGTTTCAGGGGCAGTAAATAAAATCTTAAAAAAAAAAAGTTACAAGCTATATCTTTCATATTTAGGCCTGTTATTGCACCCAGACTGGATTTTAGTGAATGGTGTGGAACAGGATCAAACTTCATTTTTTCTACAAGTATAGCCAACTATCCCATTATCCTCTCACCACTGATTTCCATATTCCCTCTAGTATCAGTGAGCATGTAATTATATATCAGTTCCTAGGCCAAAGTCTTTTCATTTTCAAAAATCACCCCATGAGGATGGAATTGTCTCCACTTTGCAGATTAAACTAGCCTCTGAAAGGTCAAATGACTTCAGAAAAACTAAATGACAGAACCAGAATTTGAACCAATACAAAAGTAGCGTCGATTTCCATAATCTCAAAATGTAGGTTTTTAGTGTTTCAAGGAGTCTAAAATTCATTGCATGTTTAACCCCTTCCATCTTGCTATTAAACATTGAAATATGACTGACTTGTTCATTTTTCTTCTCCAAATGATGGGTAAAAAAGGAAGTATTTGTATTTTACGTACATTTAAAGAAGCAAATAAAATTAAGTATATATTTACTTTATAGAACCAGGAACAAAGGAAAAGAGCTTTATTTCCTAGATTGCTTTTCCCCCAGTGACTTCATAGGTAAAAAGTAGGAAAGAAATTTAACTCATCAATAAACCAGTTTTATTTAAAGCAAGCAAGCAAATAAATAAATTCTCCCTTTGAGGTAGATATTCTTAAATTCCAAAATATACATTTGCTGGATACTCCAGTCTCCTTATGTTGAACAGAATTGGAATTTAGTGCCTATGTTTAAACTAAATGAACAGGGTTAAAGTAGAATATTAATCTATTCTGAGCCCTGAATTTACTAAAGCTAACAATCTAGGTTTTTAAACTTACTAGTATCATCATGTAACAAAAATACTATTTTTGGGGGCGCCTGGGTGGCTCAGATGGTTAAGCATCTGCCTTCAGTTCAGGTCATGATCCCAGGGTCCTGGGATCGAGCCCCATGTCTGGCTCCTGGCTCAGCGGGGAGCCTGCTTCTCCATCTCCCCCTGCTTATCCCCCTGCTCATGCGCTCTCTCTCTCTCTGTATCTCGAATGAATAAATAAAATCTTAAAAAAAAACCAATTTTTTAAAAGCTCATCACATACTGAAATATAACGGTGAAATTAAATGATAACTAGAGTTTGCTTTGAAACATCTCAGCAAAGGAAAAAAACAGATGTTGAGAAAACAACTGCAGCAAAATCTTCTACCTATTGAATATGGGTGATGGGTATATAGGAGTTCACTATTTTATTCTACTTTTGTGTATTTTTTACATGTGATACACCCTAATATTTTTCTCTATTCCATTGAAAACAAAGCTTGTTGCAACCTATTAAAATTGCTTTCATGTGCCAGTAATAGGTTGGGAACCATGGTTTGTAACCCATGGCCTCTCATACTTCCTTGCGTATTTCCTGTAACTATGCTAAATTATTTTTGCTGTTCCCTGTACATGTCTTTTCCTTTTCCCATTTGTTGTCCCCTCTATCTAGATTTGTCTGTTCCTCCATTACAATTTATGCAATTCTACCTAGTCTTTACCAGACTTTAATATGTTACCTTCTCCAAAAAGCCTTTTCAGATTTTTTCCTTGCCAAAAAAAAGATTTTCATTTTTATGCTATTATAATAGTACTTACATGCAGCTTTAGAACATTATCAACATTTGACTTTTTACTACTTGAAAAAATGCTGGACAACCCTGAACTTATTATTCAAGATTAATAACTGACACACAAAGGCGTAATAGAAAATGATTTATTTAATAAAAAACTGCAAGTAATTTTTAAAAAACATGAGGTAGAAACAACAATTTTAACATATTTCACATTCATTTAAAAAAAGAAAAAACAACTTTGAGAGAAAGAGATATCTGCCCCCCAAACGAAGATGGATACATTGAGGTTAAAATTGGTCACTATATACTTAACTAAGCACTTTGAGGTAATTCTGATTTACAAAATATCTTTATTCAAAAAAATTGAGACAACTGAGTAGTGTCTCAAAACAAATGGGGCATATGAACAATAGGTGAAAATAGGGATATACTGGGGCACCTGGGTGGCTCAGTCGTTAAGCATCTGCCTCGGCTCCAGTCCTGGTCCCAAGGTCCTGGGATCAAGTCCCGTTACAGGCTCCGGGCTCAGTGGGAAGCCTGCTTCTCCCTCTCCCACTACCCCTGCTTGTGTTCCCTCTCTCACTGTCTCTCTCTCTGTCAAATAAATAAATAAAATCTTAAAAAAAAAAATAGGGATATACCTTTTTGTCATCAATTTAAAAAAACTAAAAAAAAAAAAATTATTTTCATATCATTTTATATCAAAATCTGTAGAATACTGAATACTAAAAATAACAAGAAAGGGGAATCAGAAATTAATTGGAAATAATTAATTTATAAGTAATACTTTAAAAGCCTAGGTTTATTTTTTATTTTTTTAAAGATTTTATTTATTTATTTGACAGAGAGACACAGCGAAAGAGGGAACACAAGCAGAGGGAGTGGGAGAGGGAGAAGCAGGCCTCCGGCAGAGCAGGGAGCCCGATGCGGGGCTCGATCCCAGGACCCTGGGATCATGACCTGAGCCGAAGGCAGATGCCCAATGACTGACCCACTCAGGCGTCCCTAAAAGCCTAGGTTTAAAGTGAAAATGTACCTTATACCAAAATGCAACAGTCAGGAGAAAAACCCAGCAAAATGGCCTTGGATCACAGACCACAAAACACAGAAAAGAATCACACTTGTGTTCTCATCATCACAAGATTGTGCTTAAGTGAAAAAACAAATGAATTTTCTTTACCTAATCTCTTAAATAAACAAAATATGACAGAAATCTACAAAATCAAATCAGTATTGAAATTTTAGACTTAAAGTTTCTCAGATCCAAAAGTTAATCTATTACTAAAGCTGGTAAAAATTTATCAAACTCTTTCTAGGTCACACAAAAACACATTGATAGTACCTACAAAACTTAGACTTTTCAGTTTTGGAAAAACTGAAAAAATTAATAGTGTGTTACATTTTACACAATGATAGAACTTTAACAAGACTATACCAAAAAAATAAATAAAGAAAACAAAAAACTGGAACTCTCAACAAAGTACATTTACACCATTTCATACCCTTGGGATAAAAGTCATCTTCACAATCTAACCAGGCACTGCTTTCATAGCACATCCAAATTGCAAATAACAGGTAATATTTAGAGGAGCTCTCATATGCCAGTATGAGAAATCAAAGAAAACAGTGCTTTATCTTCTTTGAAAATCACCCAATACATGACAAAGACTTTCGTGTTCCTCTGATGGAAGATCCATGATGTACATAAATTAAGGAAAGTATACTTCACAAAAAATGGAATTGCACAAAAACATCCATGACACTATTTAACATTTTGTAATTTGGTTTATAGGACTGCTGAAAAATTTTTTATGGCATTCTATGGATAATAATGTACTTAAACAATAAGGTTTATATATCTTAGCCTAAGATCTTCATATAACATTTTTAAAGATGATTTATTTTAGTCATAATCTACAATTATGACAAGGAATAATTCTCCAATTTATAATTCTCTCAATTTTTTTTAAATTTTAATGCTTTGTCCTAGATTTTAAAAAGGGGGGGTTATAAATTAGGGTGAGAAGAACCAAAAGGGGTAACCACTTTTCCTAGATGTGTTCTAGGAAACATGTACCCTGCCCTAGGATAGCAAACCAAGTCCCTTTTCATCTCCTTTCTCACTTCACAAACTATCCTTCTCCATCACCTTCATTATTTCACTTTTTGCTTAAAATTACTTCCTGTGAGGGGAGCCTGGGTGGTTCAGTTGTTAACCCTCTGCCTTTGGCTCAGGTCATGATCCCAGGGTTCTGGGAAGGAGCCCCGCATTGGGCTCTCTGCTCAGTGGGAATCCTGATTCTCCCTCTCCCACTCTCCCTGCTTGTGTTCCCTCTCTCGCTGTCTCTCTCTCTGTCAAATAAATAAATAAAATCTTTAAAAAAAAAAATTAGTTCCTGTGAATTATTTTCTCTTTTTCCTTTGTAGAATCAGGTCTTTGAAATGTGCCCATGGAAAACACAAAACATTAAGTTTTAATTTATATAAATACATAAATATTCACAATAGCACAGATGTGGCCATATACAAAACAAAAAGGATATTAATTTTTCCGAGTTTAGATGATCAAGTAACTTCCCCAAAGGAGGATAGCGGTTCAGTGAGGGCACACATCCTAGGAGAATCAGTTTATGTTTGGCTCTGGTTATAGCAACATTAAGACGCCGCCAATCTTTCAGGAGTTCACCAAGCTGAAAGAAATAATTTTCAATTATTTGAGTTTTCTCAGACATTTAAGTTTGTTCTAGCAAAGAACACAGTTTGTTGTGAACTATTTCCCTACTTTAAGCATATATTCCAAAGAAGATTCATTGACACATTTAAAATTCTTTAGACAGTTGGAAAAACTTGCGCACAATGCCAACTTCCAAATATTTTATCTTGGGTGCAATTTCCAAGCCATAATTTAAGGAAATGGAGCTATCTATCTCCACTCACTGTAGCATTATTGGTAACAGTAATGAAAACTTGTAATAGCCTTAGACTCAGGGGAGTGGTTAAATATACCATGACACCTATGTACACTATGCAACTGTAAGAACACAATGAAATCTGTGTATTGACATGGAGAGATCTCCAAGCTATTTAAGTGAAAAAAGCAGAGTCCATTAGAGCGTATATATTACCTTCTGTGTAAAAAAAAGGGAAATATGAATACTGATTCATATCTGTTTGTATATGCCTAAAGGAAAGGAATTAGAGGTTACCCAGGAAAAAAAAAAAAACCCACAAATTGTATACAACTCAAAACCAAAAAACCCAAATAATCCAATTAAACAATGGGCAGAAGACATGAACAGACATTTCTCCAAAGAAGACATACATGAAAAAATAATTAATCATCAAGGAAATGCAAATCAAACCCATAATGAGCTACTACCTCACACCTGTCAGAATGGCTAAAATCAAAAACCCAAGAAACAAGCATTGACAAAGATGTGGAGAAAATGGACCCCTCATGCATTGTTGGGGAAATGCAAACTGGTGCAGCCACTGTGGAAAACAGTAATGGAGTTCCTCAAAAAATTAAAAATAGAACTACCATATGATCCAGAAATTCCACTACTGGGTGTTTACCCAAAGAATACGAAAACATTAATTCAAAAGGATGTACACACCTCTATTGTAGCATTATTTACAATAGCCAAATTATGGAAGCAGCCCAAGTGTCCAACCACAGATGAATAAAGAAGATGTGATATATATATAAAATGGAAAAATACTCAGCATAAAAAAGAATGAAATCTTGCCATTTGCACAACATGGAAGGATCTAAAGGGTGTAATGCTAAGTGAAATAAGTCAAAGAAAGACAAATACCATATAATTTCACTCATGGAATTTAAGAAACAAAACAAATGAACAAAGAAAAAAGACAAACCAAAAAAAGGACTCTTAACTATAGAGAACAAACTGACAGTTACCAGAGGGAAGTTGGGCGGGGGGGCGCTGGGGGTGAAATTGGTGAAGGGGATTTAGAGTACATTTATCATGATGAGCACTGAGTAAAGTATGGGATTTTTGAATCACTGTATCTTATACCTGAAATTATAACACTGTATATTAATGATACTGGAATTAAATAAAAAACACCAAATTGTGATTATCTGTAAGGGTAAGAACTGAGTAGAAGAGGAACCGGTTAGAAAGGAGACTTCTTACTGTATCTTTACAACCATATGAAGGTATCACATAATCATGAAAAATGAATGAAAAGGAGGTAAACATGCAAAACACAAAACCTGGAATTATATATAAAATTAAAAGTATATCTAAGGAAGAGTCTATGCTTAAAATGCCCCTAACACAACAGCCAAAAGGTGGAAGCAAACCAAATGTCCACTGATGGATGAATAAACAAAATATGCCATATACATGCAATGGAATATTATTCAGCCTTAAAAAGGAACAAAATTCTGATACATAATACAATATGGATGAACCTCGAGGACACCATGCTATATGAAATAAGCCAATTACAAAAGGACAAATACTGGGGCGCCTAGGTGGCTCAGTTGGTTAAGCGTCTGCCTTTGGCTCAGGTCATGATCTTGGGATCCTGGGATTCAGCCCCCACATCAGGCTCCTTGCTCAGTGGGGAGCCTGCTTCTCCCTCTCACTCTGCCCCTCCCCACCACTTGTGCTCAAGCGCACTCTCTCTGTCTCAAACAAATAAAATCTTAAAAAAAGAAACAAAAACCCCAAAAGAACAAATACTGTATAATTCCACTTATATGAGATAACTATGGTAATCAAATTCAAAGACAGAAAGCAGAATGGTGATTGCCAGGGCCTGGAGGGAGAGGGAACTGGAGGGTTGTTATTCGTGGGTACAGAGCTTCAGTTTTGCAAAATGAAAAAGTACCAGAGATCTGCTGCACAACACTGAATTGTACATTTAAAAACAGTGATGATTTTAAATTTTATATTATGTGGGGTTTTTACCACAACCTAAAAAAAAAAGAAAAGAAAAAAAGTCCCAAACAAATCAGCAGAAAATACAATGAACTCACAGGTCCATCTTTATTACTTCTAACAAAAGATACCAGAATGATACTTTTGTCTCTTCCTTGGTATTTGTCTACAGTGTTAACTTCGACCATCCTGATAGAAGAATGGAACAGTAAATCATTGATGATCTTTAACTGCTGCCTGTAGGGTGCAATGATACCAATATCAGAGGGTTTACATCCAGCCTAAACAGAAAAGAAACACAATGAAAATGAAAATCCTGATTTTTGTTATTTAAGCTTTACTAAATTTATTAAATTACATGTTTACCTAATGTGCCTGATTAATGTTTACAACAGATTGTCTTATTGCAAGGAGTAAATACAATTACTAAATTTGCTCTAAATCTAAATCCATATTTCCTGAGATTTAATAATTTCCTCAGACACTGCTCCCTTGATTTCTATAGATTAATGACAGAATAATGGTTTGCATGCCACTAGAACAGTGCTGCCATAGGGGGGAAAAAAAGCACAAAGAAATACATTACACTTTCTACGATCCCTTCCACTGAAGTTTCCAATCCCCAATCACACTGATTCAACCCTATATTGACACAATCAGAATTATCTGATGTTACAAAAAATTACCCTAAGTGGAAACCCAAAATGCCATTATAAAAAATTACATCTTTGACAATTTTCCGAAAATAGAACAAAAGCAATCAGGCTTCAGTCCTCTCATGTTAATGAACAAGGATTAATGCTAGGTCTTAAGTTCCTTGCATTCTAACATTATATTATACTTCATCTTAATATTTATTATCCATCAAAATTAAATTCTAAATTACCTTAATAAAAATAGAGGTCAGGAAAACTATTAGCTTGGCTTCTGTCATATTGCTCACACCACCCTTTTCAACTTGTTCTGGTGCTGGAACCTAAATAGAAAAAAGAGTTGAGTATGGTCAGTACACAGGTAGCCAAAGAGAACACCCTTGTGGACACAAATGAAAAATAAACTTATTTTAAAAGTTGAAGGTACAAGGAAATAAATAAATAAATGTTGAAGGTAAAAGAATTAACAAAAATGAATGACAGTAGTCACCTTTCAGAAAGCCACCTAGAGGAAACCCATCTTAAACATCCTACAGTTCAGATTAAAATCTTTCTAAGAGGGGCATCTGGGTGGCTCAGTTTGTTAAGTGACTGCCTTCGGCTCAGGTCATAATCCCAGGGTCCTGGGATCGAGCCCACATCCCTGCTCAGCGAGGAGCCTGCTTCTTCCTCTCCCTCTGCCACTCCCCCTGCCTGTGCTCTCCTGCTCTCTGTCAAATAAATAAAGAAAATCTTTTTAAAAGATAAAATTAAATTTAAAAAATAAAATAAAAAATAAAATCTTTCTAAGAGCCAACCACACACTGGGCTTGACATACTTTACTTTGTTATCCCCTAGTTTACAAGTATCAAAGGTCAGAAAAGATAAGTAACTTGCCCAAGGCCTCACAGTAAATCACATCAGTAGGATTCAAACTTGGATCGGGCTCTACTATATGTGTTCTTGCCGTTTTCTTGTTGCCTTTCATACAAATAATGGAGCAGATAAAGTTCCCCAGGTTCTAGCATACCTGGTAAAACTCTCTAAGGACTATTTTGCTCCTACATAAGCCTTAAGTAGTCCTGATTATTATTATTATTTATTTTTAACTTTTTAAAGTAGGCTCCATGCCCAACATGGGACTTGAACTCACAACCCTGAGATCAAGAGTTGCACGCTCTACTGATTGAGCCAGGCAAGTAACCAATTTTGATTATCTTTAATACCTTTTATTTGGGGGGCACCTAGGTGGCTCAGTCAGCTAAGCATCTGCCTTCGGCTCAGGTCATGATCTCAGGGTCCTGGGATTGAGCCCTGCGTCACTCCCCACTCAACAGACAGTCTCCTTCTCCCTCTCCCTCTGCTCCTCTGCCTACTTGTGCTCTCTCTCTCAAATAAATAAATCTTTTTTTTTTAATTTATATGAGAGAGAGCACATGAGAGAGCATGAAAGGGAGAGAAGAGAGCACATGCAGGGAGGAAGGGTAGAGGGAGACACAGACTCCCTGACAAGCAGGGAGCCTGATGTGGGACTTGATCCCAGGACCCTGGGATCATGACCTGAGCCAAAGGCAGAAGCTTAACCAACTGAGCCACTCAGGCACCCAAATAAATAAAAATCTTAAAAAAAAAAAATTTATTTGGAATTCTGTTGCTAAGAAAGAAGAAACCTGAGTAGCAAAAACAAAGAATCTGAGTGCTCATTGGTGAGGTAAATAATTGTAAATTATAAGTAATAAATTGGAACTGAGGTTTCTAAATGCAATCATTTGTGAGGTCAGTTTACTGAAAAAATTTCCCAGAGCCCAACTGCCCCTACTTGTTAATCCTTGATCCTGAAATGCTAAGGGCAATATCCAAGAGAATGAAAATTCCATCATGGCACATCGGGTGGGTCCTATTTATTTATTTATTTATTTTAAAGATTTCATTTACTTATTTGACAGAGAGAGAGCACAAGCAGGGGGAGCAGCAGGCAGAGGGAAAGGGAGAAGCAGGATCTCAGCTGAGCAGGGAGCCCGATGCAGGATTCAATCCCAGGACCCTGGGATCACGACCTGAGCTGAAGGCACCTGCTTAACCACCTGAGCCACCCAGGCGCCCCTATTTATTTATTTATTTATTTATTTATTTATTTAAAGATTTTATTTATTTGACAGAGAGAGACACAGCGAGAGAGGGAACACAAGCAGGGGGAGTGGGAGAGGGAGAAGCAGGCTTCCTGCTGGGCAGGGAGCCCGATGTGGGGCTCGATCTCAGGACCCTGGGATCATGACCTGAGCCGAAGGCAGACGCTCAACGACTGAGCCACCCAGGTGCCCCCCTATTTATTTATTTTTAAACTAAACTCTGTGCCCAACGTCAGTCTTGAATTCATGACCCTGAGATCAAGAGTCACATGCTCTACCAACTAAGCCAGCCAGATGCCCCTGCAAGTGGGGCCCTATTTTTAATAACCACCCACCATAATAACAAAAGATATAATTATTTTACAGTAATACGCATACATATAATTGGTCACTTTTTTTTAAGATTTTATTTATTTGCTAGAGAGAGCGAGCACATGCACACATGCACACCTAGCCGGGGGAGTGGCAGGCAGAGGGAGAAGCAGGCTCCCTACTGAGCAGGGAGCCCCATGAGACTTAAGAGCCAGGACCCTGGGATCATGACCTGAGCCAAAGACAGATGCTTAACCAACTGAGACACCAGGCGTCCCTGGTCATTATTTTTTTTCTGGTCATGTAAAGACTTCCAAACCAATGCTGAGAAGCACTACATAAAACAAACTATAGAAATAACAGGGTCAAAACTTCGTTCTTAGTTCCTAGAAATAAGAACCAAGTCATTTAAAGTCCTTGTGAAGAGTTTTGTTAAATGATAAGTTTGTAAGGTCTTTATGTGCATATGTGGAGGCAGGAGGTAATAAATATCTGTACTGTCAGGCTCAATTTTGCTGTGAACCTAAAACTGCTCTAGTAAATAAAGTCTCCATTTGTAAACCCAGCCCTTTGATAATATCAATGCCAATTGCTTTTCTAAGAAATATAATTATACACTTGAGTTCACTTTCTAGCTTTCCTACTTCAAAAGTCAATTCTCACATCTATTAATCCCCAGAATAAACCTCCTTCCAAAGAAGGCTCTAGAAATAAGTCAGTCAGAGAAAGACAGGTATCATATGACCTCACTGATATGAGGAATTCTTAATCTTAGGAAACAAACTGAGGGTTGCTGGAGTGGTAGGGGGTGGCAGGGATGGGGTGGCTGGGTGATGGACATTGGGGGAGGGTATGTGCTATGGTGAGCACTGTGAAGTGTGCAGGACTGTTGAATCACAGATCTGTACCTCTGAAGCAAACAATACATTATATGTTAAAAAAAAGAAGATGACAACGATAGCAGGAGGGGAAGAATGAAGGGGGGGAATCGGAGGGGGAGACAAACCATGAGAGACTATGGACTCTGAAAAACAAACTGAGGGTTCTAGAGGGGAGGAGGGGTGGGGGGATGGGTTAGCCTGGTGATGGGTATTAAAGAGGGCATGTATTGAATGGAGCACTGGGTGTTATACGCAAACAATGAATCATGGAATACTACATCAAAAACTAATGATGTGATGTACGGTGATTAACATAACATAATAAAAAAAAAACAAAGATACTAGCTCTATAGAAAGAAAAGATTCTTTTGTGTTGAAGTATAAGAAATACACTAGTTTTGGGGCACCTGGGTGGCTCAGTTGTTAAGCGTCTGCCTTTGACTCAGGTCATGATCCCAGGGTCCTGGGATCGAGCCCTGCATCAGGCTCCCTGCTCAGCAGGAAGCCTGCTTCTCCCTCTCCCACTCCCCCACTTGTGTTTCTTCTCTCACTGTCTCTCTCTGTCAAAAAATTAAAAAAAGAAAAGAAAAGAGCTAGTTTTAACTGAGCTCTATTAAAGCATTTGCTATTAAAAACTGAAGAATTTAAGTAACAGGACAAAAGGAGAAAAAACAGAAAATATTCAGGTTTTTTTTTTTCTTACCTTGTCTGTATTAAGAAAACAAACAGGATTGTTTGGCTCAAATACTCCAATCATCCAAGGATTTTCAGAATAATCAGCATAAAATTCCAGTTCCAGCTTTACATCTTTAAAGTGAGGTAGGCTGACCACTGCGTTGGCCACTTTGTCTGATCCACACTCCAGCTTTCCTTCATATGTCAGTTTATTACTTAAGGACATAATTTTACTAAGGCAATTACAAAAATAATTTTAGTTTTGGTAGATGAAAATAAACATGAAAATCATTCATAGCTGACACTCTCACAAATACCTGTTCATTCTGTACTGCACAGTTAATTGTACAACAGCATTCTTATTCTGCTCCAGTCTCTTGAATAAGCTTTCACTCATGCCAAGAGCTCTGTCAACAAATCAAATTCAGGCTTATCAGTGCACTGACATGGTCCCATAAGAAGAATCTAATTTAAAATTAAAATTTCAATGTCTGCTTACCTTGCTTCACGATTTAGCACCAGGGGAGGAAGCTGCTGATGATCCCCCACCAACACAAATCTCCGAGAAAAAAAAAGTGGCCCTAGGCAGACTGGCTGGCTAATTTGAGAGGCTTCATCCACAATACAAAAATCAAAAGTTTTACGAGAAAATATTGGATGGTTTATTCCCATACACGTTGTTGCAACTATACGCTAAGAACAAAGAAAGAAAATAGATGGGTTATCTAACATATCCAAGAAATGTAACTTGTTTTTCCCATATTTTATTTTACTTATTGATTTTAATCTCTACACCCAATATGGCATTTGAACTCACAACCCCAAGATCAAGAATCACATGCTCTACCAAATGAGCAAGCCAGGTGCCCCGCCATTTTTTAAATTTAAAGTTCAAAAAGATTTTTGTCCCAAACAACAGGAATCCCCCAATATTATTTAATTCTGAAACATTTATAGTATGCAAAAAAAATTTAACTTTTTACTACAAATTGAAAAATCAAGTAAATTCTCTGGACACTCTTAACAATGCTCAAATTTGGATATTTCCAAATGGAAATCTGAAACACTCAAGAGGAAACAAGTTAATTATTTTTTAAGTTTTTATTTATTTAAGCAATCTCTACACCCAATGTAGGGCTCAAACAAGAGTCACATGCTCTTCCAACTGAGCCAACCAGGCACCCCAATAATTTAATTATTATTAATTTTGTTTTTTAAAAGATTTTATTTATTTACTTGAGAGAGAGCACGAGAGAGAGTGGGGGAGGGGAGCCCGACACAGGGCTCAATCCCAGAACCCCTGGATCATGACCTCAGCCGAAAGCAGCCGCTTAACCAACTAAGCCACTCAGGCGGCCCCAATAATTTATTTTTAAATGTCAGTCAGGACTTCACTTCTGGTAAACTGGAGTACTTTTCCTCACTCCTCCCACAAAGTACAACTAAAAACTCTAAACATTATATATAAAACAAACATAAGAACTCTGAAAGGTGGAGAAAAGGTAGACCATCTAGGGACCTTGGGACGGGAGGAACAGTAGTTTGTTCCCTGGGTTTTCTTTGGCCCTCATATATCCCAACTTTGGAGCTAAAGAATTTAACAACTCAGGAATGCCAATGGGCACAGACCAAAGAAAGCTCAAACAAAAGCCAAAGGAACAGAAAAGGAAAGCCTAGTACACAGAAATCTTGTATACAATAGCCACTCTACCCTAACCAAAGACCACAGAAAACACTGTAGTCTTACGCCCTGTTGATGCCAGCAAAGGAACTCCAATATCCTACTGGGGCAATTACAGAGAAGGCCAAGTAGGGAGCCAGGACTTTAATCCCTGCTGAATGATAATAAGCCCCCAACGTCAGTGGAGACCATGTGGGGAACCTAGACTATCACTCCTATCCAGCAGTAATGAGGAGCCCCTAATCATTACGTTAAGAGGCCAAATGGGAACTTACACTTCAACTCCCACCCAGCAGTAATGAGGTGGGGTACCCTCTTGCCCTATCAGACTAGTGTCAGAGGAAGCCAGCTAAAACAGAAGTATTAAATAACATAATGCAAATGTTCAGGTTTCATCATAAAATATACATAACCATGGGCACCTGGGTGGCTCAGTTGGTTGAGTGTCCGACTGTTGATCTCAGTTCAGGTTTTGATCTCAGGGTTGTCAGTTCAAGCCTGAGTGTGGAGCCTACTTAAAAAAAAGCGGGGGGCACCTGGATGGCTCAGTTGGTTAAGCGTCTGTCTTTGGCTCAGGTCATGATCCCAGCATCCTGGGATCAAGTCCCGAGTCGGGCTCCATGCTTAGCGGAGAGCCTGTTTCTCCCTTTCCCTCTCCCTCTACTTGTGTTCTCTGTCAAATAAATAAAATCTTTTAAAAAAGTACATAGGGGCACCTGGGTGGCTCAGTTGGTTAAGCGTCTGTCTTTGGCTCAGGTCATGATCCCAGGGTCCTGGGATGGGGCTCCCTGCTCGGCGGGAAGGCTACTTCTCCCTCCCCCACTCCCCCTGCTTGTGTTCCCTCTCTCACTGTGTCTCTCTCTGTCAAATAGAAATAAAATCTTTAAAAAAATAAATAAAAGTTAAAAAATACATTAAAAAAAAAACGTAACTGGGAAGATCTCAAACTGAATGAAAAAAAGACATGCAACAGATGCCAACACCAAGGATGTCAGAGATGTTAGAATTGTAGGACAAAGATTTTATTGTTTTTAAGTTCATTTTTATTTTTTTAGTAATCTCTACACCCATTGTGGCACTCGAACTCATGACCCCAAGATCAAGAGTGTGTAACAAAGATTTTAAAGCAGCCATGATAAAAATGTTTCACTGAGCAACTATGAACACAGTTGAATCAAATAAAAAACAGGGTCTCAACAAAGAAATAGAGCATAAAAGAAAAAGCAAATGGAAATTTTAGAACTGAAAATATAACTGAAATTTTATTTATTTATTCATTTATTTATTTTTTAAGATTTTATTTATTTTGGGGCACCTGGGTGGCTCAGTCGTTAAGCGTCTGCCTTCGGCTCGGGTCATGATCCCAGGGTCCTGGGATCGAGCCCCACATCGGGCTCCCCGCTCTGCGGGAAGCCTGCTTCTCCCTCTCCCACTCCCCCTGCTTGTGTTCCCTCTCTCGCTTTGTCTCTCTCTGTCAAATAAATAAATAAAATCTTAAAAAAAAAAAAAAAGATTTTATTTATTTATTTGACAGAGAGAGAGAGAGAGCACACAGTCAGGGGGAACGGCAGGCAGAGGCAGAGGCAGAGGCAGAGGGAGAAGCAGGTTCTCTGCCGAGCAAGGAGTCCGATGAGGGACTCCATCCTAGGACCCTGGGATCATGACCTGAGCAGAAGGCAGACGCTTAACTGAGTGAGCCACCCAGGCGCCCCAAAAATAAAATCTTTAAAAAATAAAAATAGGGGCACCTGGGTGGTTGTTAAGCATCTGCCTTCAGCTCAGGTCATGATCCCAGGGTCCTGGGATTGAGCCCCGCATCCGGCTCCCTGCTCTGCGGGGAGCGTGCTTCTCCCTCTCCCACTCCCACCTGCTTGTGTTCCTGCTCTCGCTCTCTCTAATAAATAAATAAAATCTTAAAAGATAAATAAATAAAATACAAATAAAAACTTCCCAGAAAAATGTAAACATTAAATAATAAAATAAAAACTTCTATATCACAGTCTCAAAGTCTAGAAATACTTATCGTTAGACTATTCATGTACCATTGCTTTGAATTCAAACTGGCTAAAAAATCCTGATTATTAGTAGTTTTCTAGGTGTGATATTATAATAATACATGTTTGGTCTTCCTCTGGGTTCCTGACACAGAGCTCCTAAAACCTTTAGAATTTCGGTAGTGTTAGGGGTGAGAGGATTATCTTTTGTTATTCATAGTAAATCCCTTGCAACCATACCTGCATTTATGCTAATGAGAGGATGGGAGTTGGTTGTCAGAGGAACCAATCTAGAGATTAAAGGGTTAGAACTTTCAGCCCCATCCCAACCCCGACCCCTCTACTTAGGGAAGGGTAGAGGGAATAGGGATTGAGCTAATCACCAACCACCAAATCAATGATTTAATCAGTCGTGCCTACATGATGGAATCTCCATAAAAACCCTAAACAAAGGGATTCAGAGAGCTTCCGGGATTGGTGAACACATCATGGTGCTGGGAGGGTGGATCATCTGGAGGGTATAGAAGCTCCGTATCCCTTTCCACATTCCTAACCCTATGCATCTCTTCCATTTGGCTGTTCCTGAATTGCATCCTATATAATACATCTTGAATTCTGTGAGCCATTCTAGCAAATTATCGAACCGTAGGATGGGGTCATGGGAACCCTGATTTATGGCTGGTTGTTCTGATGCACAGGAGGCCCCGGACATAACTGAGAACTGAAGTGGGTGGTGCAACCTTATTAAGGGGCTGAGCCCTAAGCTGTGGAATCTGCACTAACTCCGCTAGTGTCAGAAGTGTTGTGAGTAGAGAGAGACGAGCATTTTCCATAACTAGGATATTTTAAACTAGGAGATGGGAGCCCTGAATAATAAACTAGAAACCTCATTTCAGTTCAAAAGCAAACAGCAAACTATAAATTAATAAAACTGGTCAATGTGACTGAATTCCCCAGAATGTTTCTCCACTCAGTCTGGCTACTCAGGCTGGTGTTATTATGCAATAATAGTACTTACGTGACTATTGTAGAGTTCTTCCAGAAGAGCTAAAGATTTAATGGACTTGGATCTGCAAATTTCCTCCTCTGTGAATTTCTGGATGTCTTGATGTACCTTCTGAGTCTGACCCAAACGCAAAAAGCCTATTTTAAACTTTGCTAACTTCAAAAGAATATTGTCAACAGCAGAGTGTGTATAGCTGGTCAACAAAACACTAAAACCACAGGCATGGAGAATTCTTACCTAATAATGAATAAAAGAAAGGAAAATAACATTACTTTTAATTCCAGATATTAACATGCTTATATTTTTCAAATAGAATCAGAAAACTTAATAGGAAGCATATCTTAGAGTTGAGCCAAAGTAAATATTTAAAAAATTATAAAGGCAAAATGTTTTATGAAAATCCCATGGCATTATCTTATTAATTAGTGATATGTTAAAATATATTATTAGTAATAATAAAATTGAGTACAAAATACAAACTTTGAATAGCGCCTGGCACACAGTATCAATCAATCAATATTTCTTGCCATCATTATGATTATTCTAAGATTAGCACAGAAATTTACTGACATGGAAAAAAAAATCCCAGAAAAATCTATTTCAACACCTCTGTATAATTTATTATTTTTTTAAGGCAAGGAAAACATACAATGATACACATGCCCCCAAATGAAAAAGATCTCAGAGAATCCTAAATGCAACAAACCTACAACATGATTACAACTTTTTGTGACTTAGCTTTTTATATTTCTCATGTCCTTCTAAAAGGTTAATTTGAAATAAAGCCTTTTGATTTAAAATTCAGCCCTTTTGATAGAAAATATCACATTCTCCGAACTGAGAAGCTGATTTAAATCGTTAGTTTCTAAGCAAAAGAATAATAACCTTACAAGAGTACATATTGTGGTTGTTTTTCCTGTTCCAGGCATACCCACGATGAGTGTGTAGTCTTTTGAAAGAAGTACCTTTTTCATTGCTTGCCTCTGAGGTTTATTCAAGCCTACATTTAAATTTAAAAATAACAGGAAAAAAAATGCTGGATTTCAATGAGCAAATTATAAGAAAAGCATCCTCTATGCAAGTCTGTTCTTCAATACGTCTTTTTAAAGTAAGAAAATGTCATGGTGATTAAAGTATATATATAAACTACTTCCCAAGAGAATCTGTCTAAAAATTATAAGTTTAATAAGTTATAAAATTGCTAGACTAGAATGTACTTTGTATTATAAATACAACCAAGAACAATCAATGGAAGGAGACATGCTGATTATCACATACCTTTTAGAATGCAGGCAACTGTATCCTTTGCATCATATGGAAGAACAGAACTGAGGTAGGATATAAAGTGAGGTTCACGGAAGTCAATGATTAAATCTCGAAGTTTTTGGCTGAAAAGAAAAAAAAAATGTCTTTAGTAATATTCCTTAGGAAAGTGGGGTAAATTTCAGATTCACTCATTGTTACAAACCTGACAGAAGTATTTTCCATCAATTTAGAAAGATTTCCTAAGGGAGTATCTATATTACAAGTTTTTTCTTCCTGGTCCAATCTGAACAAAGTTGATTCTGGGAGTACTGACAAGTTCCTAAAACAGTGAAACAGATGTACATGAATGTTTTTCATTTAACATGGTCAGTTGGGTCTGTATAAGAAATACATTGCTGTGTGAAGCCTGGGTGGCTCAGTCGGTTAAGCACCTGCCTTCAGCTCAGGTTATGATCCCAGGTCTTGGGATCAAGTCCCACATCAGGCTCCTGGCTCAGCAGGGAGCCGGCTTCTCCCACTTCTCCTCCCCCTGCTCGTGCTCTCTCTGACAAATAAATAAATAAACTCTTTTAAAAAAAAAGAAATACATTGCTGTTTGCTAAAAGAATAAATGAGTCAGAATAGCTATTAAAATGGCTACCAGGCCCTAATTCATACTTGCCAATCAGACAAATAAGAATGGTGGACTGGCAGAAAAGGGAGAAAATAGGGCACAAGACACTAAGGTCAAAGCAATTATTCAGGAACCTACAATACTGCTGGCAATTCACTAGGCCTCGCTTTGCAATCTAGCCTGGGCTCATCACCCCCAGAAGGATCCTGAGCACATGGCCCCTCTCTCCTCCAGTCTGGAGCACAGGTCTCTTTCCTGATGCCTTCTCCCACTCCTCCTCCAGCTCCTAAAATCCCGGAGTTCCCTAGGGTCCCCCCTCCCTGGTCCTCTGTACTGCTCTTTCTTGTCATTTCCCCTTTGGTTCTATGCCCTCATGTAGCTCTAAATCCAAAATCTACATCTTGAGACCTGACCCCACATTCCTTTTCCACCTGGTTGCTCAGCCAAGCTTCAGGTTTGGATATCCAGCAGGCAACAAGATCTTTCCACTTGGTCAAAACCCAGGCTATGAAAGCTCAATACATTCAAAACTGAACAAATCTTCATCCCTGCTGAACCTCATCCTCATTCTGTGGGTCTGATGCCAGTCAATAGCACTTGCCTCTACACCACTGCCTTATCCTTCCCTCTCCCTTCCTCTCACCCTCTTCCCAAACTCCATATCCAATCAGCATCCAAATGTCAGCCGATTTTACTTTCTAAATACTTCTCAAAATCACTCCATCCTCTCTGCCAAAGCTACCTCACCCTCAATCACCGCTAGCCTGGGCCACTACAAGTTTCCTAGTTTCTATGCTTTCAGTTTCATCTCTATTAATTAACTATTCTTCACAATGCATTCACAGAAAAATGCAAATCCGATTATTATCACTCTTCTGTTTAAAACTCTTCGATACATCTGAATAGTCACAACTTAACATGGTATATAAGACCTTCTATGAACTGACCTCCCCAATCACACTCCCTTCTTCATCTTTTACATTCCTGCACTTTCCTGAACATTCCACCTCATACTGTATCACACCATCATGTCTTTATTATGCACCACGTTCCTCTGTCTAGCATACTCTTCTCACATTGTCACCAGGCTAATTATTCCACCGGGTGAAGATCCAGAATGACCTTTTTCAAAAGCTTTCCCTAAGCCTTCTAAACTTCAGTTCAATGCCTCTCATCTATGTTCTCTTCAATTCAAACATTTGTCATATTAGACCAGAAATATGTTTATTTGTCTACCCACAAGATTATAAGCTCCTCAAGGATTTGCAAAGCAGGATACACACTAAATAAATAACTGCAAGCTACCGCAGGAAATCCTAACAGATAAAAGAATTACTGTGGCTCATATTCCCATATCATGAAATCTAGACTAGGGCTGGCTGTGGCCAAACTAGAATTACTGACTGGTAGAGAACAAGCCTGGACACATCCAGGGCAGTTACCCAGAAGTCACTGCATCCCAATTGCTGCTCTCCATCCATTAAGATATGGCAAGGCATGGCCTGCACTTAAAAGTAAAGAAGGCTGGGAGTGCAGGAAGAGGGGAACATAGATATTAGTGAGCATGGATAGTAGTCTCAACCACAAATGTTCATATCAACTATTTTATTTACTTAATATTTTTCTTTAAATGAACTCACTTTAACAAAGATAAATATACTTTATGTCACAACTATAAATGGAAAAAAATGTTTTTTAAAAAGATTTTATTTTTAAGTAATCTCTACACCCAACATGGGGCTCGAATCCACAACCCTGAGATCAAGAGTTGCATGCTTGACTGACTGAGCCAGCCAGGTGCCCCAAAACGGTTCTTTTTAGAAGGAAAAAATGAAATGGTGAGTGCCCAGAGGGCTACAAATAAGCTTCAAGGCTAACGGGATCTAGCCCGCTGCCATTCCCGTGTTGGTGAGAACTAGATAAGATTATGTCCACATTAGCGTTACAAAACAGAATATACTAAACAAAAGTTGAGCAGTTTGGTAGTTCCTCAAAATGTTAAACTCAAAATTAGTACATGACCCAGCAATTCCATTAGTAGGTATCTAAAAAGGAAAATAAAAATATATTCACATAGGGGCGCTTATGGGCGCTCAGATGGTTAAGCATCCAACTCTTGATTTCGGCTCAAGCCATGATCTCAGGGTCCTGGGATTAAGCCCATGTTGAGCTCTGTGCTCAGCAGGGAATCTGCTTCTCTCTCTCCCTCTGCCCCTCCCCTCACTTGCACCTCTAAAATAAAGAAATCTCTCTATATATTCACATAGATATGTGTATGTGACTATTTATAGCAACACTAGCCATAACACCTAAAAAGTAGAAACAACTCAAATGTCCATCAGCTGGTGAATGGATGAGCAAAATGTGGCCTATCCACATAATGGAATATTATTCAGCCATAAAGAAATAAGGTACTGGGGCACCTGGGTGGCTCAGTCGTTAAACATCTGCCATCAGCTCAGGTCATGATCCCAGGGTGCTGGGATCGAGCCCCGCATTGGGCTCCCTGCTCCGCAGGAAGCCTGTTTCTCCCTCTCCCACTCCCCCTGCTTGTGTTCCCCCTCTCGCTGTCTCTCTCTCTGTCAAATAAAATATAAAAAAAAAAAAGAAAGAAAGAAAGAAAAAAAGAAATAAGGTACTGATAAATGCCAAAACACAGATGAGCCTCAGAAACATTATGCTAAGTAAAAGAAGCTAGCAAAAAAAACAAAACAAAACCAAAAACCATATGGTTCTAGTTATATGAAATACCCAGAAGAGGGGCACCTGGGTGACCCAGTGGGTTAAGGGTGTGCCTTCGGCTTGGGTCATGATCCCAGGCTCCTGGGATAGGGCCCCACATCGGGCTCCCTGCTCAACGGGAAGTCTGCTTCTTCCTCTCCCTCTGCTCCTCACCCTGCTCCTTCTCTCTCTTACTCACTCTCTCTCAGAAAAAAAAAAGAACAGCATGCTAAGTAAAAAAAAGCCAGTCACAGAAGACCATATATGATCCCATTTCTATGAAATGTTCAGAATAGGCATATCTACAGAGACAGAAAGGAAAGTGGTGATTGCCTAGAGCAGGGGGAATGAATACCAAAGGGTACAAGGGTTCTTTCTGGGGTGATGAAAATATTCTAAAAGTGATTTTGGTGATGGCTGCACAACTCTAAGAATATACTAAAAATGATGAATAATGGTTTAAATGAATAAACTGTGTATAGTATGCAATTTACATATCAATAAAGCTGTTACCCCACCAAAGGAACATTTCATTACCTGTCTAATAAACAGGTTACTGATGTCATGTTAATCTCTTTCACATATCCCCTAGACAAAGCAAACAGTGTTCTCTCTTCTCCACTTAAAATAATTCTATCACCTGCCATTAGATTTGTGACAGGAATGTCACCATTTTTACGTTGAAAATTATGTAAATATTGTCCATCACAAACTGTCTTAACACATTCTGTTCTAAGCAGGTTTCCAATGCAGTTGCCACTCTCCTCCCTATGAAACAGAAAGACAGAGAAAGCTTCCATTTACATCATATATATAAATACTATATTTGCATTTTTCCACAATTTACTTGTTCATCTGGCCCCTGAAAGCTATAATGCTAATACTGAGTCATTCATTTTTACGTTTTCCACAAACTACACTAAAGTGTTAGAAATGCTAAGGAAGGGGCACCCGGGTGGCTCAGTCATTAAGCGTCTGCCTTCGGCTCAGGTCATGATCCCAGGGTCCTGGGATCGAGCCCCGCATCGGGGTCCCTGCCTGGCCAGGAGCCTGCTTCTCCCTCTCCCACTCCCCCTGCTCGTGTTCCCTCTCTAGCTGTCTCTCTCTGTCAAATAAATAAATAAAATCTTAAAAATAAATAAATAAATAAATAAATAAATAAATAAATAAATAAATAAAAGAAATGCTAAGGAAACATTCTATTAGTTATAAAATAATCTCTCATCAAAAGATCTCTAGACAGGGCACCTGGGTGGCTCAGTTGGTTAAGCGACTGCCTTCAGCTCAGGTCATGATCCCAGGGTCCTAGGATCGAGCCCCACATCGGGCTCCCTACTCTGCGGGAAGCCTGCTTCTCCCTCTCCCACTCCCCCTGCTTGTGTTCCCTCTCTCGCTGTGTCTCTCTCTGTCAAATAAATAAATAAAATCTTTAAAAAAAAAAAAAAAGATCTCTAGACAAGGGCTAGGGAGCATATCCCCTGTTGCACCCACAGGCTGGGATCTCCAAACAACATGTGTATCAGCACTTTGAACCTTGAATGACACCCCTACTTCTATGCTGATACACATAATATTACAGAAGACAAATGGTAATATTTTTCCTGAACTTAATGTGAAGAAAATAAGTACTTATTTCTTTTGTATTTACAAGAGGATTTATAATTATTGTTATTAAAATAATGGCAAGCAAATTGATAATTCCACTGCTTCTAAGAAATAAGTATTAAGCATTTACAATCTCTCAGACACTACTATTAAATACAACTTCAGAAGCTTATTGGCATGTACACTTGATATATTCCCTGTACTTACGTGGTCTATCAAAAACGACTTAAATTTTATCCACTGTAATGATCCCTTATGTTAAAATTTACTATTAAGGAAATAATGATCCAATTATTTCTAAAGTCACATTAAAATCAATATTCATTCTGGAAAGTTTTAAGTAAATGGATCAAAAGCAATGAAATACTACAAAAAGAAAAAAACTGGGGTGCCTGGGTGGCTCAGTCAGTTAAGTGGCTGCCTACGGCTCAGGTCATGATCCCAGGACCCTGGAATTGAGTCCTGCATCAGGCTCCCCGCTCAGTGGGGAGTCTGCTTCTCCCTCACCCCTTGCTGTGCTCTCTCTTGCTTTCTGTCAAATAAATAAATAAAATCCTTAAAAACAAAAAAAGAAAAATACTATGCAAAGATATACAAAATTACTTCTTTATAAGCAACTTGTAAAAAAAAAAGAACTCTATAGGAAACAAACAGGGTTGCTGGACACGAGATGGGTGGGGGGATGGGGTAACTGGGTGATGAGCATTAAGGAGGGCACTTGATGTTATGAACACTGGGTGCTATAGGCAACTAATGAATCACTAAACTCTACCTTTGAAACTAAAAAAAATTTTAAAATTACAAAAAAATTTTTTAAATAAAATAGATCTCACAAAATAAAAGATGGACCAACTTTAGAAAATGTGAATCTGTATCAAAACACTGAAAATATAAACTTTTTAAAGACTAGTATTTAGGGGCGCCTGGGTGGCTCAGTCAGTTAAGCATCTGTCTCCGGCTCAGGTCATAATACCAGGGTCCTGGGATCGAGTCCCACGTGGGCCTCCTTGCTCAGTGGGGAGCCTGCTTCTTCCTTTGCCTGCTCTGCCTGCCACTTCCCCTGCTTGTGCACTCTCTCTCTCTCTGACAAATAAACAAAATCTTATAAAAAAAAAAAGTTTAAAAAAAAAGATTTCTCAAGACATATTTAACCTACTGAAAATAAAAATAGTGCTCTACTTAGAAACAATTCCTTGACAGCCATCTAGAGTTGGCATGAATATATGAAATTACACATCTCTGACAGGATATCGTGTATCCTGTATTTTTCATGAATTCCAGATACCATTCCATTAGGTAATCCAAATTACTTAAGTTTTACTGTATTAGATGGACCACTTACATTTCTGAAGCAGGCATTAACCATATATGTTGGTGATTCTTTTTATTATCCTTTGATTGTGACTCCAGGGTTAACATTAGACACCAAAGGCTGAAATACTCCAAGTGTGTAAGCTTTAGATGTTGGGTTTCTTCTTTTATTTTGGGCAGCATGCCAATCGGGACTGAACTGTCATCCATCTGTTGTTCAACAGCTCTAAAGAGAGATGTATATAAAACATTTTACTGGCTAGCTATAAAAATGAAGTTATTTCTAAAATAAGCATACATACATGATGATCACTGTAACTTATAACCACAGGTCCTAATTTTCTTTAAAAGTCATTTCAACATTCTATAAGCCAAATGGCTTTTTACAAAACGAAATGCTAAAGAAACCGAGTATAGCATTATTTTGCCTTTAAGGACTATAACCCTAATAGCTACTTAAATTTGGTATACTCTAGTTTTCATTAATATAATGGTAGCAAGTCTCGGCTTTTTGTACAACTGCATTTCTCAAAATCACAATATTTGTACATCCAGCTCTGGGCCATTAGAAAGTCAACATAAAAACATGGAGAATTATGTGGACTATCAATTGTGCTTAATACAAAATTTCTGAATTTTTATATAGAAACAATTATGTTATAGGATAGCATACAAAACACAGAGAATAAAATAAGATTTCAAAAAATGTGCTTGTACTATAGGCCCAAACTTCCCATAGTTCATTGTCCTCTGCATTAAGAGATCATTTATTTTATATAATACTTTGAGGGCGCCTGGGTGGCTCAGATGGTTAAGCGTCTGCCTTCGGCTCAGGTCATGATCCCAGGGTCCTGGGATCGAGTCCCACATCGGGCTCTCTGCTCCTTGGGAGCCTGCTTCTCTCTCTGCCTCTCTCTCTCTGTCTCTCATGAATAAATAAATAAAATCTTAAAAAAAAAAAAAGATACAGACTTTCTGGGGCACCTGAGTGGCTCAGTCGTTAAGCGTCTACCTTCGGCTCAGGTCATGGTTCCAGGGTCCTGGGAGCCCCGCATCGGGCTCCCGGCTCCACGGGAAGCCTGCTTCTCCCTCTCCCACTCCCCCTGCTTGTGTCCCCTCTCTCGCTATGTCTCTCTCTGTCAAATAAATAAATAAAATCTTAAAAAATAATAATAATACTTTGAAAAGTCCTTTATGGGAATTTTTAGGCTGAACTGGAACTTTGGTCTTGATTTTATCTTATTTCCTTCTCTGTATTTACATCTAACTACTTTTTTGTGTCCTTCAAAACTTTCACTGGCCTATGAAGGTATAAATACAAATGACTGGTCTTAAGACAGCTAATAAACTTCCCACATGTAGAAAAATAGACATCTAGGCCCCTGGCTGACTCAGTCAGTGGAGCATGCAATTCTTGATCTTGGGATTGTAAGTTAGAGCCCCATGTTGGGTATGGAGATCACTTAAAAAAAAATCTTGGGGTGCCTGGGTGGCTCAGTCGGTTACACTCTGCCTTCAGCTCAGGTCATGATCTCAGGGTCCTGGGATCGAGTTCCACGTTGGGCTCCCTGCTCAGTGGGGAGACTGCTTCTCCCTCTCACCCCTGTTCTCTCTCACTCTCAAATAAATAAAATCTTAAAAAAAAAAAATCTTAAAAAAAGAAGAAAAGAAAAATAAACATATATAAACAGAAAGACAAGTCTGTTGAATCATATCAAACTGTCTGGAAGAACCAATTTCCCTGCTTTTAACTACACAAGGCATAAAATTAAAATAGTAACTAAGAAATAGAAGAATTCTTAAAGTATCACTTAGAAAAGCTGTATAATATTTAAAATTCCTATACTAGTTCCATTTTTTTTTTTTTTAAGATTTTTTTATTTTGGGGACACCTGGGTGTCTCAGTTGGTTAAGCATCTGCCTTCAGCTCAGGTCATGATCCCAGGGTCCTGGGATCGAGCCCCGCATCGGGCTCCTTGCTCAGCAGAGAGCCTGCTTCTCCCTATGTCTGCTGCTCCCCCTGCTTGTGCTCTCTCTCTCTCTGACAAATAAAAGAAAAAAAATTTAAAGATTTTTTTATTTTTAAGTTACACTCTACATGGGGTTCAAACTTAAAACCCTGAGATCAAGTCACATGCTCCCCCAAATAGCCATCCAGATGCCCCTATACTACACTCTTCTTAACCAGATTCCAGTAAGTCCTAAAATTATTTCATTTCCCCAGAAACTATGTGCATCAAGATTAAAATAACCACTTTGGGAAAAAGTTTAAAAAGCATTCTGTCATTCCCCAAGGAAATAGGCTGGTTACAAAATATGAACTGTGTTTTTTTTAATATACCCTTCATTTAAAAAATACTACCCACAAAGAAAAATCACTAAAATGAAATCATCAGTGCCAGACCAGACAACAAACAAAGTTAAATCATTCTGAGTTGAGTAAACATAATTTTGGAAGACAATGTTTTTACCTGCTATAAAGAGCACAGTTGCCAATTTGTGAACAATATTTACAAGTTTGCTGGTCCTCAATTATTTGTGGCAAAGGAGCAAGCTTTGTCTTCTCCTTTTCAATAGCAGATTTGCTAATACGGTGAAGCAAAGAGTATGCCATCTGGTTTCTTAGCCTTAATAATTCTATGGAAAAAGAAGGTGGGGATGTGTTTAAGAATTAAGTTTATTATATATCTTTATCATGTAAAACTTTCAGATTTAAAAACATAAAATGAACATTCATGTTTCCCAATACACTAGAATAACTTAACATTTTGGCGTATATTTGCTTAAATTTTTGTTCACTTCATAAGTTCTTTTAAACAACCATATATCTCATAACTAGTAAATATTATGAAGTTGGTATTTTTAGCTAAATGCTATGGATAAATACAGCTATCTAGAATGTCCCAAATATAAGACAGGAAGTTTAAAATAAATGTTTGTATAATAAAATTTTAAAAGGTTAAAGATCTTTTCAACTGTACAGTATATTGTTAAAATTCTTTTTTTAAAAATACCACAACTGGGGTGCCTGGGTAGCTCAGTTGGTTGAGCAACTGCATTCGGCTCAGGTCATGATCCTGGAGTCCCAGGATCGAGTCCCGCATCAGGCCCCCTGCTCAGCAGGGAGTCTGCTTCTTCCTTTGACCCTACCCCCTCTCATGTTCTCTCTCTCATTCTCTCTCTCAAATAAATAAATAAATAAATCTTTAAAAAAAAAAAAAGTTGGTTAAAAATACCACAACTAAAAATACATAAATAAGCAAGCAAGCAAATAAATAAAACCATAACTACACATTACAACCTATATTAGACCTCACAAGTACAGTGAATGATTTTTAGGTATATATACAGATTACTAAAGGTTAAAGGAAACAAACAAAACCCAGAGAAGGAAATGCAAAGAGAGAACAGCTCGACCTCTTTTATCAAGATGGTTGGCCGGCACAGGGTACATGTGGCCGGTCTTGAGGTAAAGGAGCAGGCCGGCCTCGGGGTCAGCTCTCCTCTCTTGGCTCAGCACTGTGTACAGAACAAGCTGTGAAAACATTGGACATTTTGTCAACGAAAACTAACTTTCATATATCCATGCGTGTTTAGCAATCAACACATACTGGAATTTTAAAATCAAAAGGTCGGGGCACTTGGGTGGCTCAGTCAGTTGAGCAACCGACTACTATGGGTTTTGTCTCAGGTCATGATCTGAGGGTTGTGGGATCCAGCCGCACAACCAGCTCCTCGCTCAGGGGGGAGTCTGCTTGAAAGATGCTCTCCCTCTGCAACCCCCATCGTAAGCACACATGCACACCCCCGTGCTCTGTCTCTAAAAATGAATAAATAAATCTTAAAAAAAATAAAAAATAAAAATACAAAAATCAGGGGGCGCCTGCGTGGCTCAGTCGTTAAGCGTCTGCCTTCGGCTCAGGTCATGATCCCAGGGTCCTGGGATCAAGTCCCGTAATGGGCTCCTTGCTCCAAGGGAAGCCTGCTTCTCCCTCTCCCACTCCCCCTGCTTGTGTTCCCTCTCTCGCTGTCTCTGTCAAATAAATAAAATCTTTTAAAAAATTAAAAAATAAAAAAATAAATAGAAAATAAATAAATCAAAAGGTCAATTAAGCTATTTCTATTTTGAAAATAACAGAAATTAATACAGATAACACAATAATTCAATGTCAAATATTTAACTTCTGCAACATGAACACTGTCTATGCTTCTCAGTTTTACACAATAAAGAAATACACAGAGGGCGCCTGGGTGGCTCAGTCAGGTAAGCATGTGCCTTTGGCCCAGGTCATAATCTCAGGGTCCTGGTATTGAGCCCCAAATCAGGCTCCCTGCTCAATGGGGAGTCTGCTTCTCCCTCTCGCTCTGCCCCTCCTCCTGACTGTGTTTTTCTCTCATTCTCTCTCTCTCTCAAATAAATGAAATATTTTTTTAAAAAATACATAGAATTTTTCTTAGTAAATATTTAGGTGTGTCTCTGTCAAATAAATAAATAAAATCTTTAAAAAAACAAAAAAAAGAAGGAAATTAACCAAACTATTCTGAAGTTCACAGTCTTTAGAAACTATTTCCCCTGTTTCAAATAATAAATGAACTAAAAAAATAGATAAAAGATAAATAAGTGAACTAAACATTAAAATGCATATTATTTATGTCATAGTTACTGGGACAACTAAATGAGACTATACAAAGTTCATTGTTTTTTGCAGAGCATAAGTCATTATTAGCTACATTAAATTTATGTGGTACTCTCCAAAGAAACCATCTAAGACAAGTTAGAAACAGCTGGTTTACAGTTCATGAAACCACCTTAGCAACAATAGCAAGTTACTTAGTCATATACAACCTGCAAAGAAGCTAGTATGTTTTCCAGGAGATTTCCAAGATTAAAATGTTGAAAAATTTATGTCTTTGTTTGTTTGTTTTTTAGTAGGCTCCACACCCAGCCTGGAGCCCAGTGTGGGGCCTGAACTCTCGACCATGAGATCAAGACCGGAGCTGAGATCAAGAGCTGGAAGCCTGGGATATCTGGGTGGCTCAGTCGTTAAGTGTCTGTCTTTGGCTCAGGTCATGATCCCAGGGTCCTGGGATTAAATCCTGCCTGGGGCTCGCTCAGAGGGGAGCCTGCTTCTCCTTCTGCCTGCTATTCCCCCTGCTTGTGCTGTCTGTCTCTCTGACAAATAAATAAAATCTTAAAAAGGAAAAAAAAAATGAGTTGGAAGCTTAACCAACTGAGCCACCCAAGTGTCCTGGATTTATGTCTTTAAATCATAAAATTTCAGGGGCGCCTGGGTGGCTTAGTTGGTTAAGCATGTGCCTTCAGCTCAGGTCATGATCCCAGGGTTCTGGGATCGAGCCCCACCTCGAGCAGGGAGCCTGCTTCTCCCTCTGCCTCTACCCTGATGCCCACTCCGCCCTGGCTCATGCTCTCTCGCTCTCTCAAATAAATAAATAAATAATACATAAATCATGAAATCCCAAAATACCAAGACCAGTCATTATAATTAACATACCTAGGTAGGAGAAAAGAAAGATTTATGTTAATTAAGTCACTATAAATAATGTTTAAGATAATTTTGAAGTACAACAAAAGATTGTTATGTTTACCAAAGAGTAGAAAAGATGAATAAAAACTTGAATTTAACATAATGGTAAGACATGGTTCTATATTTCATTTTAGATAATAATCATTAAAATCAGATTAAGAGTCAAAAATAAAAGAATGGATTTAGACTGATGTTTTCTAAGAGTATCCTATGTTAGATATTACATGAAAACAATAGTTCCATGGTAAATTAAGTTTAGGAAACAATGGGTTTATTTATTTTTTGTTTTGTTTTGTTTTAAAGATTTTATTTATTTATTTGACAGAGAGAGACCCACAGTGAGAGAGGGAACACAAGCAGGGGGAGTGGGAGAGGGAGAAGCAGGCTTCCCACGGAGCAGAGAGCCCGATGTGGGGCTCGATCCTAGGACCCTGGGATCATGACCTGAGCCGAAGGCAGATGCTTAACAACTGAGCCACCCAGGCGCCTGAAACAATGGGTTTACACATACCTAAACCAAATCCATATTACTCTGATTTCTCAGAAACTTTAATATGCTACCATGCATCATTAAATCTCCAAATATACTTGGTTTCTTCAACTTTTATCACTAAGGAATTCTTTTTTTAGGAGTATCTGTTTAGTAGTTTGGCAACATAAACTTGGCAACACTGGCTTATAAATTCAGCTGTTGTATTTCTTTGCTAGAGAAAACTTTCTGCTGTAGACATGTATACATTTATAAACAATTTGAGTACCCTGGATACATCCCAAATTGAAAAGTACTATATGAAACTTAATACAAAAATCACCCAAATTGAACCAAAATATATAAAGCAGACCTATATTTTTCAGTATACTAAATATTCAGACAATTTTCTTATTAAGACTTATACCTACCTGACTACGGTGTTCAATAGAATTTAATTCTCTGCCAGTTTTAAGTTCCAATGGCATTATCTTATACTTCGTTTTACATCCTCGATGTATTTTCACACCAACTGTGACATCTATTTTGCCTTTCAATCCAAACCTTGGGGACCAAATGCTTTCTTCAATGTCCAATGAGTTTATGACTTCAATATTACACGATGAATTATTGTTATTACCATCACTTGGCCTAAAAAATTAAACACAAAAATACTTCATTAGAACACTAAGCACAGGGTGCCTGGGTGGCTCAGTTGGTTGGGCGTCTGCCTTCGGCTTGGGTCGTGGTCCTGGAGTCCCTGGATCAAGTCCCACGTCGGGCTCCCTGCTCGGCCGGGAGTCTGCTTCTCCTTCTGCCCTTCACCCTGCTTGTGTTCTCTCTCACTCACTTTCTCTCCCTCTCAAATAAATAAATAAAATATTAAAAAAAAAAAAGAACACAGCACATTTCTCTTTATGCCGTTATTGACTCTACTATACACAGAGAATGCAGGGATGGGAAACCAACAACATACGTTTACAGCAGTGATTCTCAAAGTGTGGTGCCTAGAGGAGCAGCATCAACATCACCTGGGAACTTGTAATAAAAGCAAATTCTCAGGCCCCACTCCAGACCTACTCAATCAGAAACTCTGCAGGTGAAGCCCAGCAATTTGTCTTACAAGCTCTGCAAGTAGGGGTGCCTGGGTGGCTCAGTCATTAAACATCTGCCTTTAGCTCAGGTCATGATTCCAGGGTCCTGGGATCAAGCCCCGCATCGGGCTCTCTGCTCAGTGGGGAGCCTGCTTCTCCCCCCTCCTCTGCCTGCCACTCTGCCTACTTGCGCTCTCTCTCCATCAAATAAATAAATAAAATCTCTAAAAATTAATTAATTAAAATAAAAATTGAGATTTAAAAGGCTTAAAAATTCTGACTGTCAGAATACATGATTTAGTTGACTTTGGTTGCTAATTTCATGTTATTTAGATCAGCAGCTATTTCTTAACAAATGAGAATATTTTCTAAGAGAAAGAAAATGACATCTTCAGTGATTCTTTTTTAAACATTTCAGGATGCTTCAAATATAATCTCCAGGAATATATGTATACTTCTGCAACCTCTGAGGAAGACAACAGAGGAATTCAGGGAAGCTACAACTTATCCGAAATTTCTTAAATATTATTCTGTTCTCTTTCTCCAAATGTTATCTAATTGTGTTATATATTTAAATATGCTCCTATGAAATAAAGCAAACTTTATTATTCATAAAATGTCACATGTATACTTAATAGAAGATAGGTAATGAAACTTTTAACACTGCTAATAAAATTCATTCCCCTAGAAAATGAAGTAATGTGATTTCAGACCTAGATCTGTGGAATAAACGACAGTATTTCAATTTAACTACTATGATTTTAATCAACATAATGCTGTAAAACTCCTTCGAGAACCACCTGATTGAGAATATGGTATTGTGAAGATGAAGAAAATTTACACTTAATTACCTATGGGTGAGAAAGTCTCTCTCTTTTTTTTTTAAGATTTTTATTTATTTGAGGGACGCCTGGGTGGCTCAGTCAGTTAAGCGACTGCCTTCGGCTCAGGTCATGATCCTGGAGTCCCGGGATCGAGTCCCGCATCGGGCTCCCTGCTCAGCAGGGAGTCTGCTTCTCCCTCTGACCCTCCCCTCTCTCATGTGTGCTCTCTCTCACTCATTCTCTCTCTCTCAAATAAATAAAATCTTAAAAAAAAAAAAAGATTTTTATTTATTTGACAGAGAGAGTGAGCACAAGGAGGAGGAGCAGCAAAGGGAGAGGGAGAAGGAGAAGCTAGCTCCCCGCTGAACACGACCCAAGCCAAAGGCAGACGCTCAACTAACTGAGCCACCCAGGCGCCCCAGGTTGTCTCTTTAAATGACCTTTAAAGGTCTCATTCTCTGTGCTAAAGTCTAAAGATTTTTTTCTTTAAAGATGGCTATATGGGCGCCTGGGTGGCTCAGTTGGTGAAGCGACTGCTTTCGGCTCAGGTCATGATCCTGGAGTCCCGGGATCGAGTCCCGCATCGGGCTGCCTGCTCGGCAGGGAGTCTGCTTCTCACTCTGACCCTCCCCCCTCTCATGTGCTCTCTCTCATTCTCTCTCAAATAAATAAATAAAATCTTTAAAAAAAAATAAAAGATGACTATAAACTGCTGCGAAAATGACACAAGCTAAAATACAGAGGAGCGCTTCCTTCACAGAAGGACATACAAGATTCCATTGGAAGTAACTGAAACAAACAAACAAAAAAGCCTTATACCAAGATACAGAGAGGAGAACACTGGGCTGGGAATCAAGAATTGTTACTGTAGACTCAGCCCCACCACTGGTTTTTCGTATAAAACCTGGACTAGTCACACCACTCACTGGATCTCAGTTTCCTTATTTGAAACCTAGGAGTTGATCTCAAAAATCCCTTTCAGGTCAAAGACAACTCTGAATCCCACACTTTCCCTGGCTTCCTAATATACTTGTTCCAGGCTACCTAATTCCTTGCTGGTCCATCATCAGCCTCATTTGATGGATTCTACTCCTCTCTCCCTCTGTCCTTACACAGCCCACTCTTAGCTGCCAGAGTTCCATGCCTCTTCTGTTGCCCTACATGTTCTCTCTAAGCAATGCCCTCCAGGTCTATGTTTTCAACTACCACCAGTAGAGAGTTCTTGGAGGGTTTTAGTCTCCCTGTAACACCAGGACCAATGCATGGAATACCTATATGCTGAATAGGTTAAGTCCATGAATCGATGAGAAAATGGCAGCTTATCACTGCAGAAACAATGAATAAATCTTAACCGAAAGAAAAAAACATGCAGACAAAATGCTAAAACAATTAAACAGTAAAAGAAAAGCTAATATCTGAAACAAGGAAAAGGGATATCCACCACAACTTTAATTCTCAAGCAAATTTAAATTACTCCAAAATAAATAATAAGGAAGGACCAGAAAGGTATATAGTGAGGGAGGGTAAACAAGGATAAAGAAATAATTAGGAACAACAGAGAACAAAAATTAAGTTTGTAATTATTACAGAAAATCAATAGAGACCAGAATGACAGAAATACTACAAAACAATGAAACAAATCAGGAGAATGACTACTTAAACATTTATCTGTTTATCACAGTGAAGACTAATGCACTGAGACCCACCCCCTGTTCTAGACATAGGCAATCTGCTCCAAAGAAATAATAAAGAACAAAGCATTTATAAATTAAACCCATTTATTACAGCCTTTTTTTTTTAAGGGAGGGAGCTACTGGTAAATTTAAGACCACTGCAGAAAAAAAGAATATGAAAAATAAACCCAAATCTAAAAGCACGATAAGCCTCATTTTTTTAAACTACCATTATTAAAATATATATCAAAATCCTGGCAAGCTGACTGTGGTTATGGTTACAGAACTCTACAAATATACTAAAAGTCACTGAGTTGTAAATAATAATAAAATAAATAAAAATAATTAAAATCCAGATACAGGACAGAGGCGCCTGGGTGGCTCAGTCGTTAAGCGTCTGCCTTCGGCTCAGGTCACGATCCCAGGGTCTTGGAATTGAGTCCCGCATCAGGCTCCCTGCTCCACGGGAAGCCCGCTTCTCCCTCCTCCACTGCCCCTGCTTGTGTTCCCTCTCTCGCTGTGTCTCTATCAAATAAATAAATAAAATCTTTTAAAAATAAATAAATAATAAAATCCAGACACAGGACATTTATTTTATTTTTTTTTTAAAGATTTTATTTATTTATTCATGAGAGAGAGAGAGAGAGGCAGAGGCAGAGGGAAAAGCAGGCTCCCCATGGAGCAGGGAGCCCGATGCGGGACTCGATCCCAGGACCCTGGGATCATGACCTGAGCTGAAGGCAGACGCTTAACCGACTGAGCCACCCAGGCGTCCCCAGACACAGGACATTTAAACATTGCTAACAACCTTCTATAATGATTACAAAATTCTCAGAGAATTCTAGCAATATGTAAAAGGTGGTAAAATTTCCAAATATCTTTGATGAAGTAATCCACTTGGGAGATTTTAACGCCAAGAAATAAGTGTCCCGGGGCGCCTGGGTGGCTCAGTTGGTTAAACGACTGCCTTCGGCTCAGGTCATGATCCTGGAGTCCCGGGATCGAGTCCCACATCTGGCTCCCTGCTCAGCAGGGGGTCTGCTTCTCACTCTGACCCTCCCCCCTCTCATGTGCTCTCTCTCTAATAAATAAATAAAATCTTAAAAAAAAAAAAAAGAAATAAGTGTCCCATAGGTCAACCCTTCCACTTGTATACTCTCATTCCTTCTCCCATATTCAAGACATAGCTGACCTTTCCCATCTCTCATGATGACTTCTGCCCTTTCTATGGAATTCTCCCCATCTGCATATGAACACATTATACCTGTCATCTTCAAAACAACAACAAAGCTCTCTTAGCTCCACATAAGCCTCTGGCTACCCTTCCATTTCTATGTGTCCCTCATATAACAAACCCTCACTATAGCTGTCTAACTCCCTGTCTCCAAATCCTCCTCTACCATTCTCCCTTGACATCCTTCTTATCACATTTTCTCCCCTGGAATCACTGCTGCCTTTTCTTTCCCTCACACTCCACATCCAATCCAAACTACCAGTTCTACCGCTAAAGTCTGACTAAAGTCCAACTGATTCTCATCACTTCCACAACTCTCACTGTGGTCTCAGCCAAAGAAAATTTATATAAATGGAAGCTGTGCCTATTTATTTATTTAATTTTTTTTAAAAGATTTTATTTATTTCAGAGAGAGAATGAGAGACAGAGAGCACGAGACGGAGGAGGGTCAGAGGGAGAAGCAGACTCCCCGCTGAGCAGGGAGCCCGATGCAGGGCTCGATCCCAGGACTCCAGGATCATGACCTGAGCCGAAGGCAGTCGCCTAACCAACTGAGCCACCCAGGCGCCCCAGCTGTGCCTATTTAAAGAAAAAGAAAATGTTGCTCACTTAAGGGGAAAAGAAAGAAAAAAAAAAAGTTTTCTGGGGCGCCTGGGTGGCTCAGTCCTTAAGTGCCTGCCTTCGGCTCAGGTCATGATCCCAGGGTCCCGGGATCGAGCCCCACATCGGGCTCCCTGCTCCGCGGGAGGCCTGCTTCTCCCTCTCCCACTTGCCCTGCTTGTGTTCCCTCTCTCACTGTGTCTCTCTCTGTAAAATAAATAAATAAAATCTTAAAAAAAAAAAAAAGGAAATTACATCACAACCCTCCATGCAAGCAAGCTCTCCATCGGCCTCTTATCTAATCAGAATAGCAGCCAGAGTCCTGACATGGCTTATGAGGCCCCAGGAAAGCTACTTCTGCTCCTTCCTTCCTCACTCTGCTCCCGCCACACTGGCAGGTGTGCATCACCCGAGGGGCTTTTGCCTAGAATGCTCTTCCTGGGGAGAGCTGCGCAGCTACCTCTTTCATCTTCATGCTTCACCTCCACATCATCTTATCGGAGAGGCCTTTCACAATCATTCAGTGGAAATCATATGTCCCACCACCACTACTACCAACTCCATGTTCCTTCTTAGGTTGTTCTACCCTGCATTTACCACAGTCCGCACCCCCCCATCATTGTTTACTTGTTCAGTAGTACAGAATCCCCATGAAGTCAGCTGCTTTCCCCTCCCCCACCCCCGCTATGATAATCCCAGCACCTAGAACATTACCTGGCACATATTAGGCACTCAATAAATATTTGCTGAATGAGTAAACAATGATAGAGAAAAAATGTATTACTTATAAACTTATATGAATGCTTCTTTAAGGGGAAAAACAATAAAATACCAAATGCCAAACCGAGTTAAATGGTTAAACCCAGTATTTGAACAGATAGCACAAATCCACAAGACAATCAACATGTGACACAGTCCATATAGGATAGTAATAGAAATGCATACGAAATTAGGACCCCCAGACTATTTACAAATTGGTTATTTTATTTAAAAAACATACTGACAGGAGCACCTGGCTGGCTCAGTCGGTGGAGAATGCGACTCTTGATCTTTGAATTCAAGTCCCACATTGGGTGTAGAGATTACTTAAAAAAAAAAATGTTAAAAACATACTGATATACAAAAATCAGAAGATTTTATTATAACGAAAGTAGAATTTCTATTCATTAGATTATTTTTTGTTCTGGAAAGACACTCAGGACTGTAATTTATAAAATAAGCAAACAAAAAAGCTAGTTGTACTAACTAGACCTTTAAAAAGCTTTAATTCAACGTACAGAATAAAATCCTGATCTGAACATATGAACACCATATAAACAAAATGAGTTTCTTACAGAGAGAGCTGCATCTGGGGGAAGTCACCTGAAGTGTATTTATGCATGAAATCTCTGGCCCATTTAGAAAATGAAGGAAGATACTCCTCTACTTCTTGTTTTATCTCCTCTTGATTCAGATTTAAGCGATACCTGCAAAATAAGAGATTAAACAAGAAAGCATAAATATGGAAAAAGTAAATAAGGACAAAAACATCCAAATAAACAAGTTATCCATCAACTAATTAACGGATGTATAATGTGATGTATACATGGGGCACCTGGCTGCCTCAGCTGGTAGAACATAGAGTGTGCGACTCTTGATCTCGGAGTCATGGGTTCAAGCCCTACATTGGGGATAGAGTGTACTTTAAATAAAGAAAATCCTTTTTTTTTTAAAGATTTTATTTATTTATTTGACAGAGAGAGACACAGTGAGAGAGGGAACACAAGCAGGCGGAGTGGGAGAGGGAGAAGCAGGCTTCCCGCGGAGCAGGGAGCCCAATGCAGGGCGCGATCCCAGGACTCTGGGACCATGACCCGAGCTGAAGGCAAACGCTTAACCACTGAGCCAACCAGGCGCCCCATAAAATCTTCTTTTTAAATGTGGTGTATACATAGAATGGAATATTATTCAGCCTTAAAACAGAAGAGAGCAGAGGCCTATCAGTCCACCAAAAGAACTGATTCAGCAGAGAAAACAAAATTAGCAACCCTAGCTCTGCCAAGATTGCTTCTCCTGAGCACAGTGGCAACCTCAAGCTGAAAGAGAAGCTGACATTCCTCAGGGGAGCAACTGCTAATACAAGAAAGCCCCAAATAATCACACATTCAGACTACCAGAGGCAAAGGTTATCCTTGCAAAAGGCTGCTTGAAATCTGGCAAAGTCCTTGGCTAGCAGCAACATGCCACACCTTAGCACTTACGCCCCTGACACAGCCATCGGATGTCACCACATGCCAGGCCCCAGCCACTAGGCTGTGTGGCGAGAAGAGGCCTGAAGGCAAGGTGAGCAAGACCAGCTCTGCCCATTGCAGTGGGTGCCCCTGAACCCACGGGGCACACCAGGATGTCCAGGGCCCTGCTCAGCCTGTTCTATGACTAGTGTCTTCATGGTTTAAAGCCCATCATATGTACCATGATGTATACTACTTAATCTTACAAAAAGAATCTACACACATCTAACAGGTGAATCCAAGTAAAGAGTATATGAATGCTGTCTGCACTAATCTTGCAACATTTCTCTAAATTTGAAATTATTTCCAAATAAAAAGATTTTTTAAATGTTTTAAGCACATATATTCTCTGGCCCAACAATTCTACTTTTACGTATTTAACCCAAATATATGCCTCACAGGTATGAAATAAAGGATATATAAAGGTATTTCCTGGTTTTTTTTTTTAAGATTTATTTATTTATTAGAGGTACAGAGAGCAAGAGAGAGTGACCAGAGACAGAAGCAGAGGGAGAGGGAGAGAAAATCTCAAGCAAACTCCACACTGAGCACGGAGCCCAAGGCAGGGCTCAATCCCACGATCCCAAGATCATGACTTGAGCTGAAATCAAGAGTTGGACGCTCAACCAACTGGGCCACCCAGGGGCCCCTAAAGGTATTTCTTATACAATTGCTAATAAAAGCAAAGACTGAAATGCCAGAGGGATACTTAAATAAATTATAATACATTCATACAATGAAATATTATGCCATTATTAATGAAAAATGACAGTTCAGGGGCACCTGGGTGGCTCAGCGGCTGGTTGAGTATCGGACTCTTGATTTCAGCTCAGGTCATGGTCCTGGGATTATGAGATCAAGCCCTGCAACAGGCTCAGCGCTGGGCTGGGTGTGGAGCCTGCTTAAGTTTTTCTCTCTCCCTCTCCTTCTGCTTCTACCACCCCCCACCCACTCTTTCTCTCAAAAAAAAAAAAAGAGTCAGCTCAGTAAGCACTAATATGGAATGATCACCAAGCTTAACCTTTAAGTGCACAATAATGTGCATAGTATTCTACAATTTACCTAACAAAAAAAAAATGTGTACACATACCCACACACACATACCATCACACATAAACATTTGAAATCTCTGTGTAAGGACATGCAAGAAACTGGTAACAGTGGTTGCCTTTGGGGCACCTGAGCAGCTCAGTTGATTAAGTGTCTGCCTTCAGCTCAGGTCGTGATCCCAGGGTCCTGGGATTGGATTCCTCATCGGGGCTCCCTGGGATTGAGTCCCACATTAGGTTCCTTGTCTTCTGCATTTAAATTCTCCTTTATTATTTTAGCCAAGTCACAGCAAAACAACATGTAACAGCCTGGTCTTTCCAGATATTATTAAGATACTTAAGGTAGGATCTTCAAGCCTAGACTTTTATAGGTATTAACAAGAGGGTAAAGCATAGAAGATAAAAATCTGGGGGCACCTGGGTGGCTCAGTGGGTTAAGCATCCAACTGTTGATTTAGCTCAGGCCTTGATCTCAGGGCTGTGAGTTCAAGCCCCACGGTGCGCTCCACACCGGGTGTGGAGCCTGTATTTAAAATAAAATCTGTTCTGGGGCGCCTGGGGTGGCTCAGTCATTAAGCGTCTGCCTTCGGCTCAGGTCATGGTCCCAGGGTCCTGGAATCGAGCCCCGCATTGGGCTCCCTGCTCTGCGGGAGGCCTGCTTCTCCCTCTCCCACTCCCCCTGCTTGTGTTTCCTCTCTTGCTATCTCTGTCAAAAAATAAATAAAAATCATGGGGCGCCTGGGTGGCTCAGTCGGTTAAGCGACTGCCTTCGGCTCAGGTCATGATCCTGGAGTCCCGGGATCGAGTTCCACATCGGGCTCCCTGCTCGGCAGAGAGCCTGCTTCTCCCTCTAACCCTCCCCCCTCTCATGTACTCTCTCTCTCTCATTCTCACTCTCTCAAATAAATAAATAAATCTTTAAAATAAATAAATAAATAAATAAATAAATAAAAATCTTAAAAAAACAAACAAACAAAAAATAGTAAAATAAAATCTGTTCTAAGGACTGTAATAAGATAGAAGGATCGATGAGAGGGTAGAAAAGAACTTTCAACCTGTTGTTTTAGGGCCTGGGAATTTTTTAAAAAGTTTCCACTTGATGGGACGGACGCCTGACTGGTTCAGTCAGTAGAGCATGCAACTCTTGATCTTGGGGTAGTGAGTTTTCATCCCACACATGGGGCAGAGTTTACTTTAAAAAAAAAAAAAAGCGGCACTATGGCTTCCTACTTGCTCACTTTCTTAGACCCTTTAATCTGAAGTAGCAGCTGCTATGTTGTGAGGAGAGGCTCACGTGGCAAGAAACTGAAGCCTCATGACAACAGCTGTGAGTGTATCATCGTGGAGGCAGGTCCTCCCTTCAAAGGACTGCAGCTCCAAATGGGAGACCCTGAGCCCGAAGCATCCAGCTAAGCCACCTCTGCATTCCTAACCTACAGAAACTATAAGATAATTGATTACTTGTCATTTTAAGCCACTAAGTTTTTTGTTTGTTTGTTTTTTTAAGCTACTAGGTTTTGATTTGTTTCAGGGCAATGATCAATACAACACACAACAGGTATCACTGTACGTTGATTAGGGTATGACAAAAAAAGTTAAAACTCTGAAATGCCAAGGCGGGGGGCGCCTGGGTGGCTCAGTCGTTGAGCGTCTGCCTTCGGCTCAGGTCATGGTCCCAGGGTCCTGGGATCGAGTCCCACGTCGGGCTCCCTGCTCGGCGGGAAGCCTGCTTCTCCCTCTCCCACTGCCCCTGCTTGTGTTCCTGCTCTGGCTATCTCTCTCTCTCTCTGTCAAATAAATAAATAAATAAATAAATCTTAAAAAAAAAAAAAAAAAAACCTCTGAAATGCCAGAAACAAGTGTTGGCAAGGATGTGGGGGGAAAAAAACCCAAAAACCCTCATGTACTGTTGGTGGGAATGCAAACTAGTGCAGCCACTGTGGAAACAGTATAGAGGTTCCTCAAAAAATTAAAAATAGGGGCGCCTAGGTGGCTCAGTCAGCTAAGAGTCTGCCTTCAGCTCAGGTCATGATCCCGGGGTCCTAGGATCAAGCCCTGAGTTGGGCTCCCGGCTCAGCGGGGAGTGTGCTTCTCCCTCTGCCCCTCCCCCCTGCTCCTGCTCTCTCCCTCTCAAATAAATAAATAAAATATTTTTTAAAAAAATAAAAAAGAAAATGTTTTAGGACAATAGATTATGTCATTAGTAAATCAGTTGTATGGCATTTTAACTCTTTTTTTTAAAGATTTTATTTATTTATTTGAGAGAGAGAGCACATGAGAGGGGGGAGGGTCAGAGGCAGAAGCAGGCTCCCTGCCGAGCAGGGAGCCCAATGCGGGACTCGATCCGGGGACTCCAGGATCATGACCTGAGCCGAAGGCAGTCGCTTAACCAACTGAGCCACCCAGGCGCCCCCAGTTGTGTGGCATTTTAGAACATGTATTTTCCACATAAACAGGGAAAGAGAATTACATCTGGGGAAAAATTACATTACAACTAGTTTGGAAATCAAAATTACCCCTAATAAAAATACTTCTGTGAAAAAACATGGTCTGCAACAAGAGTCACAAAGAAACAGCAGAATATGTTGACGCTCTGCATGTAGTCACTCATAAAATGCCAACAATTAGCCATTTGTGGGCTTATGTATATTTTCTCCACTGTCACAAAAAGTCAGCAAAATAGGTATTATCACCTTTTTCAAAATTTTTAAGTAACCTGTTCAATCCTAAAACTGGCAAAGCTAGAATTTAAAACTAGGTCCATCTGACTCCCAAACCCATACAATTTACAGTATGTCACATTTCTAGAAGTAAGCCAAATGTTTTTCACACTCTCAGAGAGCAGCTGAAGAGTCTATTGTGCAGGTGTACAGAATATCCAGATATTTTTAGCTCAAGAGTTTCTATTCTGCAATTTCAGAAGCTCCTCACAGAACTGCAGTGGGGTACTACATCCCTGAATCTGCATTCTAGTATTACTCTGATTTATATTTAATAGTCTAATAACCAAATACCTTATAATAGATTACAGGAAAGAATGTTCTATAATAAAATAGTACCTACAGTACATCTTGTAACTACTTACATGTCCTTAAGATGCCTTATTTCTTGAACAGTTTGAAAAGCAAATTCTTGTAGCTTTTCTGGGGCAAAGCTATTGCTTATTGCTTTTTGAAATACTTCATGAAGAACTGTACCAATCAGCATTTGGTGTGTGGCCGGTTCAGAGCTCTATTAAAAAAAAAAATCATACATTTTACTACAAGACATATTAACAGACATGATCCCATATTTATTACCTATCCTATTAAACCACCACAGCCAAAGTGCACTGGTGAGACAAATGCCAAAATATTAAACAATTTTTTTTTCTAGTTAGTAAAATTATAGATGACTTTCACTTTAAGATTTTTTTTTTAATTTATTCATTTGAGAGAAAGAGAGAGCACAAGCATGGGGAGAGGCAGAGGGAGAAGCAGACTCCCCACTGAAAAGGGAGCCCAACGTGGGACTCAATCCCAGGGCCCTGAGATCATGACCTGAGCCAAAGGCAGACGCTCAACTGACTGAGCCACCCAGGTGCCCAACTTGCACTTTCTTCTATTCAGAATTACCTGATTTTACAAGCATGTTATTTTTTTAAAAATCAGTAATTTCCATTTTGAAATCAATAGAAGTAACCCTATATGAAAAAGTTCAATGTATTCTCAAACGCTTAACATATTCTTTTCTAATTTCACTTTATAATCTACTCAAATAAAACCCAATAAAGCCATAACTCCTAAATTCATGTAAGTGAAAGATATTACTCAAACAGGGGTGCCTGGGTGGCTCAGTCGTTAAGCGTCTGCCTTCAGCTCAGGTCATGATCCCAGGGTCCTGGGATCGAGCCCCGCATCGGGCTCCCTGCTCTGCGGGAAGCTTGCTTCTCCCTCCCCCAGCCCCCTGCTTGTGTTCCTTCTCTCGCTGTCAGATAAATAAATAAAATCTTTAAAAAAAAAAAAAGATATTACTCAAACAAGCTTTAAACTTACAACAGAGATTTCTGACGAGTTTCCTCCACTCAAAAAGAAACAGTATTTTAAAAAAGAAAAAAAAGACACAGTATTTCTCAATTAACTCTATTCTTAGCCTAAACCTTCCTCTTAAAGATACCAAAGTAGATAAAGCCACCAAAACATGCTTCAGGAATTTTAAAAATTAATTTACAGGGGCGCCTGGGTGGCTCAGTCGTTAAGCGTCTGCCTTAGGCTCAGGTCATGATCCCAGGGTCCTGGGATCAAGCCCCGCATTGGGCTCCCTGCTCAGTGGGAAGCCTGCTTCTCCCTCTCCCACTCCCTGTTTGTGTTCCCTCTCTCACTGTGTCTCTCTCTGGCAAATAAGTAAAATCTTAAAAAAAAAAAAAAAAAATTTAATTTACAGAGGGACTCTCTATACTATTTATGTAAGTTTTTCTGAGTCTAAAATTATTGCAAAATAAAAGGTTTTTATAAAAATTTTAAAATATTCAGGTCTGCTTTATAAAATATGGTTAAAAGAGAAGTCAATAGACCCCCCCCACCACCAATGAAAATATCAAGCTGATTTTTCTACAATTAGGGGCGCCTGGGTGGCTCAGTCATTAAGCGTCTACCTTCAGCTCAGGTCATGATTCCAGGTCCTGGGATTGAACCCCGTATCAGGCTCCCTGCTCGGCAGGAAGGCTGCTTCTCCCTCTCCCACTCCCTCTGCTTGTATTCCCTCTCTCGCTGTGTCTCTCTCTGTCAAATAAATAAATAAAATCTTTAAAAAAATAAATAAAAGTTAAAACTACAATTAATTGATAACTAAGACTATTGGAAAATGTCTATTTAGGCATTTTTCCTTCTTTTTTTTTTTCTTTGCTCAGCTGTATTTTTGGCTTTCTACATACATATAAATTGTATAATTTAAAAAATACCCCAGGGGCACCTGGGTGGCTCAGTCGTTAAAGCATCTGCCTTCGGCTCAGGTCATGATCCCAGGGTTCTGGGATCGAGCCCTGCATCAGGCTCCCTGCTCCACGGGAAGCCTGCTTCTCCCTCTCCCACTCCCCCTGTTTGTGTTCCCTCTATCACTGTGTCTGTCAAATAAATAAAATTTTTTAAGAAAAAAATACCCCGAAAGGAAGAAACTCTTTTAACAAATAAAACCCAGGGGCGCCTGAGTGGCTCAGTCGTTAAGTGTCTGCCTTCGGCTCAGGTCATGATCCCAGAATCCTGGGATCGAGCCCCACATTGGGCTCCCTGGTCAGCGGGGAGCCTGCTTCTCCCTCTCCCACTCCCCCTGCTTGTGTTCCCTCTTTCACTGTGTCTCTCTCTGTCAAATAAATAAATAAAATCTTTAAAAAAATAAAAAATAAAACCCAGGTTCTTCAACAAATGGCACTGAAGCAAAGAGGGTGAGTATAAGGCAGAACCAACAGAGATTAAAAGAAACTCAGGAGGGCGCCTGGGTGGCTCAGTTGGTTAAGCGACTGCCTTCAGCTCAGGTCACGATCCTGGAGTCCTGGGATCGAGTCCCGCATCGGGCTCCCTGCTCAGCGGGGAGTCTGCTTCTCCCTCTGCCCCTCCCCCCTCTCATGCTCTATCTCATTCTCTCTCTCAAATAAATAAAATCTTAAAAAAAAAAGAAGAAACTCAGGAGACATACCAACCAAACATAACACAAAGACCTTGTTTGAGAGAACCTGGCTGGCTTAGAGGAGCACGCAAATCTTGATCTTGGGGTTGTGGGTTTGAGACCTACACTGGGGTTAGAGACTACTTAAAAAAACTACAATCTTAAGGGGTGCCTGGGTGGCTCAATTGGTTAAGCATTTGACCCTTAATAACCACTCAGGTCATGATCTCACAGTCTTGTGATCAAGCCCTGCCACAGGCTCTGTGCACTCAGCGCAGAGACTGCTTCATATTCTCTCTCCTTCCCATCCTCTCTGTCAAATAAATAAAATCTTTAAAAAATAATAAATACAGTCTTCAAAAAAAAAAGAAAAAAAAAAAGACCTTGTTTGGATTCTGTCTGATTCTAAGAAAACAACTGAATAAAAAGATATTTTCTTGGGAACCTGGGTGGCTCAGTCGGGTTAAGCATATGCCTTTGGCTCAGGTCATGATCTCAGAGTCCTGGGATGGGTCCAGCATCAGGCTCCCTGCTCAGCGGGGAGCCTATTTCTCCCTCTGCCTGCCGTTCCCCCTGCTTGTGCTCTTTCTCCCTCTCTGAAAAATAAATAAAATCTAAATCTATCTATCTATCTATCTATCTATCTTTTTAAAAAAAGATTTTATTATTTGAGAGAGAGAGCACAAGCGAGAGAGAGAGAGAGAGAGAGAGAGAGAGTGAGTGCACAAGCAGGGGGGAGGGGCAGAGGAAGAGAGAGAAGCAGATTCCCCACTGAGCAGGGAGTCTGATTCAGGGCTCGATCCCAGGACCCCAGGATCATGACCTGAACTGAAGGCAGATGCTTCATCAACTGAACCATACAGGAGCCCCTTAAAAGATATTTTCAATAAAAGACATTACAGGAGCGCCTGGGTGGCTCAGTCAGTTAAGCGTCCAACTTTTGATCAGCTCAGATCACATGATCTCAGGGTCATGAGATGGAGCTGCACGACGGAGCTATATCCAGCTTGGTGCTGAGCATAGAGCCTGCTTGAGATTCTCCCTCCCTCTCCCCCCACCTGCAAGGACACTCTCTCTCTCTCAAAAAAAAATAAAAATAAAAAGATAAAAGATGCTACAGATAGGGGCGCCTGGGTGGCTCATTCGTTAAGCGTCTGCCTTCGGCTCAGGTCATGATCCCAGGATCCTGGGATCGAGCCCCACATCAGGCTCCCTGCTCAGCGGGAAGCCTACTTCTCCCTCTCCCACTCCCTCTGCTTGTGTTCCCTCTCTCGCTGTGTCTCTCTCTCTGTCAAATAAATAAATAAAATCTTTAAAAAAAAAAAAAAAGATGCTACAGATAAATTGGGCATTATAATAATTTAAGGAATTACTGTTCATTTGTATGATAAAGATATATTTTTTAAAGATCCTCAGCTTTCATTTACTTGCAAAATAATGTTTGAAAACAGCAAAATGGATACATGGGAGTTTACTTAAAAAAAAAGTGTGGGGCGCCTGCGTGGCTCAGTCCGTTAAGCATCTGCCTTCTGCTCAGGTTATGGTCCCAGAGTCCTGGGATCGAGCCCCACATCGGGCTCCTTGCTCAGCGGGGAGCCTGCTTCTCCCTCTCTCTCTGCCCTCCCCCTGCTCATTCTTGTTCTCTCTCATTCTCTCTCAAATTAATAAATAAAATCTAAAAAAAAAAGAAAAAGTGTAAAAGTGCTCTGTAACTCTAAAACCCTGTAGAAACATTAGCTGTTAATATTATTCACCCTAAAAGTTTCATTCAGGACAGCTCTTCTCATACACCGAATACTACTGGCTATGCTTGTGCCAGAAATCAGCATGTCTGGATATAGAATTAAATATCCAAAATCTTCATCTATTATCCAAGTATCAGATAGGCAGTCTCCCTCCAAATGAATGATGTCCCCTGGCTCCACTGGTAAAGAGCACCTACGAACAAAGCAAAGTATACATAGTTTAGATTCCTACATTTAAACATATTAAGGAAGCCTCAAAAGTAAATGAATATTTTATCTGAAGGAATAGTATTTGTAAATTTCTGGGTCTTTCAAAAAAATTTAATACTAGGATGCAGTCTTTTGAATCAACTCCTAGTCACTCTACTCCTTTCTACCTTTGAAATATACCTGAGAATACTCAAGGGTCTTCCTTAAATACCCAAAAGGAAAACTGCTTAATGTTATCATCTACTGCAAAAGCTACAAATCTTTAATAGTGTTAGTACATAGCTCCAATTATGGATTAGGTTGTTTCTTTTTTTTTTTTTTTTTTAAAGATTTTATTTATTTATTTGAGAGAGAGAGAGCATGAAAGGGGGGAGGGTCGGAGGGAGAAGCAGACTCCCTGCCGAGCAGGGAGCCCGATGCAGGACTCGATCCAGGGACTCCAGGATCATGACCTGAGCCGAAGGCAGTCGCTTAACCAACTGAGCCACCCAGGTGCCCGGATTAGATTGTTTCAATAATAATTCTCTCATTCTTAAGACTTCTAGCATATCGGGGCACCTAGGTGGCTCAGATGGTTAAGCGTCTGCCTTCGGCTCAGGTCATGATCCCAGGATCCTGGGATCGAGCCCCGCATCAGGCTCCCTGCTTGGCAGGGAACCTGCTTCTCCCTCTCTCTCTACTGTTCCCTCTCGCTCTATCAAATAAATAAAATCTTTAAAAAAAAAAAAAAGACTTCTAGCATATCTACAGTTTCTGTAAGTCTTGAGGCATGAAGCCAAACCCAATGTGTTAATAAAATCATATTTATAATTTTTATCTAGACAAAGAGCCTAAATAGACAAAAATTAGACCTCCACTTTCTTGCATTTCCCCTTCATCCCTCACATACCATACTTTGCTTGAGTAGAGAAATCTAGGGTTTAAGAATGTTCGTATGCTGTAATTAATTTTGCTCTTAGTGAAAAGCTGCAATCTTAAAAAGTACTGGGAAATTTTGGAAGTAGTCATTTATAAGTCCCTTTGTAGTTAATTTTCAAATGACAATAAAAACCAAGTTCCAGAATAAGGAGCTGGAGATGCTGGGGTAACAAGCACAATTTTTACATGAAATTAATTCAGGTTCACATCTACTCCCTTTATTAACAATTAAATTACAGCAACATCCACACAAGCCTATGTGATGAGTTTTAAGATGGTACCCTTAAGCCAGATAGGTGCTCAAAGTCACAGGAAAATTACCAGTTATTCCTAAGGATACACAGTTCTTTATTTTCTAGTGACTGGGAAGCAGTGATGATTAGGTGTTTTTCATGGGTTCCTTCTTCATTCTGTACAATATTGACTGCTAATACCAGGTACCGGTTATCCATTCCTCGGCTCAGAACTGTTTTAGAAAAGGAAGCTTCCACCTTCTTCTGAAATCTGAAACATATACAAACACAACTACTGTACCATGAAATAAGAAGCCATCGAATTTCCTTTAATTACAAACCAACCTTCTCAATTTTCTAGGTTTGTTTCTTCTAGAAAGCTTATCATAATGACCATTAGCTAAATAGGTAAAAATTAAGAGAGTAAGGGCACAGCAGAATTCCTATGATAAAAACTTCCCAGAAGTAATGCCATTTAAAACATGCTTATGATATGCATTTTTCCAAATACTGTATAAGTTCTTAGGAGGAGCTCTGTGGGACATCCATGATAATGAGGATTAAGGATAAATTGAAAAATACTAAATAACAAATTCCTACCACTGGTGCAAACCTTCCCAAAGTACAAGCAAAAGGAAATGTCTTGGACACTATCCTTTTTGTAAATGAAAGGGATATTTGTTAGGGAAAAGCATAGTGTGGGTGGTTTGCTGAAGACCTACTGTGAGTCAGCGTTACATTAATCTTTAGGCCTACTTAGAAATCATCTACTCCAAACTACTATTTAATGAAGAAAATCTTTCTATAAAATCTCAGTGAGAATCAACTAGCCCCTACCTCGCAGAGAAAAGCAAGCTTACTACCTGTCATGTTAGCTCATTCCTTCATAGAGCAACTCAGACATTTCTTATTTATAATGGGCAAGTCAACTTCACAATACTTCTATCCATTAATCCTAGCCGCCTGAAAACGATGCAGAATTCTCTAATCGTTCTAGAAAACATTAAGTCCCTCATTAGTCTTTCCAGTTTGACTGCAGTCTTTGTCAGTGACAGTACAACAGAATCCAACGTCATTACCTCTCTAATTGTAATACCCAACCCTAGGCTCTATTACTTTGTAATGGCCTCATTCACCTACTCCAGGAAGCCTCAGGCCATGAATTTCCCAAGGTCGGCTGGGATGCCTTAAGGACTTTCGCAAATGATAATGCTGATCAAAACCCAAAATGCAAAGATCCGTAAACAATAATTAGCATCATTATTATTAATTGAAAATAATTCCACACCATGATTGTGGGTCAAGCTGCCCTAACCATTTAGTCCAGGTTGAGGGTAGAGAGCTCTCCTGGGACAAGATTCCCCAACTAAACCTTGAGAAAAGCATCTACCAGTTGCAATTGCCCTTTACGAGGGCGTTTAAGTGGCTGGCACGCCCTGAATTCAGGCAAGTGATATGAAGAGAAAGAATGAACTGTTGGGTGAGCAGTCTTTGGGCTCTGGCCCGAGTGTGGCCCCAGAGAGAACACTACGAAGCAGACCCCAGCTCCGGAAACTCGTCGGGCGCCCGGAGCCGAGTCATTGAATTCCGAGCCCGGCTCCGCCGAGACGTGGGTGCGGCCTCTCCCGCGCCTTTCTTTCAAATCTCCCGCCTGGCTCCCAGACCCTCCCTCCGCTCCGCTCACAGCTCCGCCGGCCGCTCGGCCTCTTCCTGGAGACTCTTCTTCAGCAGCTCCAGTTCTTCCAGTTGCGCCATGGCAGGCGCGGAGAATGCAAACTGTCGCCAGGTAAAATCAGGGAAACACAGCAGCTCCAACGAGAAAAAGAAGCGCGAGTTTGTGAGGCGCCGCGCGCATGCGCCTCCCCGCGTGCTCCCCAGGGACCTGCGCGAAGGGGCCCCTCCCAGCCCCGCGGGTTCCACGCGGAGCCCCGGGTGGCGGTGTTCCGAACAGACAGTCTTTGCTCCCTTGCTTTAGGGTTTGGGAAACAGGGAGTCTTCATAATCCGGCCCAGACTAAATGCTTCCGCACTTTCCTTAGAAACGCCAATCTTTGCTCAACACAGACTCGTAGAACAGAACCAATGGCCCAAACCCAAGTGTCCCTTGTTAGCTTGCAGAATTTTCCATTTGGGGGAGAAACAAACTCCCCTCCTTTTTTTTTAGATTTTATTTATTTTTTTGAGCGAGAGAGAGAGAGAGCACTGGCGGGGAGGGGCAGAGGGAGAAGCAGACTCCCCGCTGAGAACGGAGCCCCAGGCTGGCTGGATCTCAGGACCCTGAGATCATGACCTGAGTGGAAGGCAAGCAGAGGTCTAACCAACTGAGGCACCCAGGTGCCCCTGCCTTTTTTTGGTTTTGTTTTGTTTTTTGCTTTTTGTTTTGTTTTTAAGATTTATTTAGTTTAGGGCGCCTGGGTGGCTCAGTTGGTTAAGCGACTGCCTTCGGCTCAGGTCATGATCCTGGAGTCCCGGGATCGAGTCCCGCATCGGGCTCCCTGCTCGGCGGGGAGTCTGCTTCTCCCTCTGACCCTATCCCCTCTCATGTGTTCTCTCTCTCTCTCTCAAAAAAAAAAAAAAAAATCTTTAAAAAAGATTTATTTAGTTTAGAGAGAGAAAGAGCGCGCGCGAGCATGAGCAGGGAGGAGCAGAGGGAGAGATTAGGGAGCCCCAGGTGGGGCTGAATCTCAACACCACCCAGGAGCCCTTACTCGTCTTTGTTTTGTGGAAAACTCATTGAGAAAATAGAAGCTGTCAGATAGGAACTTCCTCATCATGCCACAACTAAATCTATAAAAGTACTAATATCTGTACTTGTCTTATAACCTATTTCCACTTTTTTCAACAGTGGACAAAGCAATCCTACTTGTACTCGTTCTCGAGGGCATTGCTTCTTCAGCTATGACATAATTGGGTTTAGAGATTACTTAAATTAAAAAAAAATTTTTAAGGGGTGCCTGGGGGCTCAGTCGTTTAAGCCTCTACATTTGGCTGGGGTCATGCCCGGAGTCAGGGCTCCTTGCTCAGCGGGGAGCCTGCTTCTCTCCCTCTGCCCCTCTGTCTGTGGTTCTACCTGTTCTATCAAATAGAAAAAAGATTTTTGTGAAAAAAGATTTTATTTACTTATTTGTCAGAGAGAGACAGAACATAAATAGGGGGAGCGGCAGGCAGAGGGAGAAGCAGGCTCCCCGCTGAGCAAGGAGCCCAATATGGCCCCAGCTGAAGGCAGAAGCTTAACCGACTGAGCCACCCAAGCGTCTCCCCCCCCACCAAAAAATAATCTTTAAAAAAATAATATACTAGGGAATATTTCTGAATGAAAGGTGTTAAAAATAATAAAAATGAATGAAATGTGTTAAAAATAATAAAATGATCACCTCATAAAGCTATCATCCAATTTTATAATTTTTTTAAGATTTTATTTTTTAAGTAATCTCTAAACCCAACATGAGGCTCAAACTCACAACCCCAAGGTCAAGAGTCACATGCTTGTCTGACTGAGCCAGACAGGCACCCCCATCATCCAATTTTATTTATTTATTTATAAGATTTTATTTATTTGTCAGAGAGAGCACAAGCAGGGGCAGCAGGCAGAGGGAGAAGCTGGCTCCCCGCAGAGCAGGGATCCTGGCGCGGGACTCGATCCCAGGACCCTGGGATCATGACCAAAGCCCAAGGCAGATGCTTAACCAACTGAGCCACCCAGGTATCCCCCATCATCCAATTTTAAAATAATCTTTATCAAAAGTTATCTTTTGGAGCAGGCGCCTGGGTGGCTCAGATGGTTAAGCGTCTGCCTTCGGCTTAGGTCATGATCCCAGGGTCCTGGGATCCAGTACCGCCTTGGGCTCCTTGCTCATCCGGGAGCTTGCTTCTCCCTCTGTCTGTCGCTCCCCCTGCTTGTGCTGTGTCTTTCTCTCTCTTTCTCTGACAAATAAAATCTTTTTAAAAAACAAATAAAAAAGTTGTCTTTTACATTCATGTTAATTCATACAAAAATTATGAGAAATTTCTTGAAAAAAAAAGAAAAAGACTTGTCGGTAATAGATACAGATTTTCTACCTGTGACACCACACTCAGCCGGTTTTCCTCCAACCTTACAGGCCCTCCTCGATCTCCTTTACTGTCTCTTCATTTTCTTTTTTTTTTTTAATATTTTATTTATTTATTTGACAGAGAGAGACACAGCGAGAGAGGGAACACAAGCAGGGGGAGTGGGAGAGGGAGAAGCAGGCTTCTCGCGGAGCAGGGAGCCCGATGCGGGGCTCGATCCCAGGACTCTGGGATCATGACCCGAGCCAAAGGCAGACGCTTAAGGACTGAGCCACCCAGGTGCCCCACTGTCTCTTCATTTTCTGCCCAATCTCTGACTGTTGAAAGTTCTCAGAGGTCAGTTCTGAACAAATTTCTCTATCTACCAGCTCCCTAGGTTATTTCATCTATTCTCATGGCTTTAAATAACATCTCTATCCTGCCAGTTCTCAAATTCATATGTATAGACAAGGCTTTTCCTCTCAATTCAAAAATCCAACTACATACTTGATAGCTACACTTAGAAATATTTGGGGATGGGGGGAATTCTTTCATTATAACATGGCCAAAATGGAATTTTTAATTTTCTCGACAGACCTATTATTCTTCCCAATAATAGCACTATCCACCCAGAAGATAAAGCGAGAAACCCAGAAGTTGTCCTGATTCCTTTCTGTTACTACCCACATCCAGTCCATAGGCAGACCCATAGATACACCCTTTAAAACTGTCTTAAATCTCTTCATGCCTTTCCACCTCCAAGGTCACTACCGATCATTATCTCTAACGTAAAAAACTGCAGCACACTCTTAAATGTGCTTCTACACTTGTCTCCCTGCAATTCAGTCCCTTTTCCCAATATTTTATCATGAAAACTTTCAAATGTACAGAATTATATAAAAGGATGATATAATGAGCACCCATATAGCTACCACCTAGATCTTATAATTAACATTTTGCTATCTTTGATTTATCACATGTATATCTATCCATCCCTCTGTACATCCATGAATTCAAGTTTTTTTTTTTAATGCACTAACAAATAGCAGGCATCAGCGCATTTCATCCCTAAACACTTCAGCATGTATATCATTAGCTACAGTTCAATATTTCTTTATGGTACTTTTAAAATTTAATGTAAGTTTTATATGTAAAATGTTTTAATTTACATTTAAAAAATGCACAGATCTTATGTGTACCATTTGATGAATTTTGACAAATGTGTTTAATTCAAACTCCTACTAAGGTAAAGAATGTGTTACCATCACTCCAGAAAGTTTTCTCATGCACCTCGGTGGCTCAGTCGTTAAGTGTCTGCCTTTGGCTCAGGTCCTGATCCCAGAGTCCTGAGATCTAGCCCCACCTCAGGCTCCCTGCTCAGCAGAGAGCCTGCTTCTCTCCTCCCTGCTTGTGCTCTCTCTCTCTCTCTGTCTCTGTCTCTCTCTGCCAAATAAATAAAATCTTTAAAAAATAATAATAAAAAAAAGAGCCTACGGGAATTATGATTGAGATTGCATTTGATCTATAAATCAACTTGGAAAAATTAATTCCTTTACACTATAGTCTTCTAATTCATAAACATGGGTTATCTCTCCATTTATACAAATCTTTAATGTCTCTCAGCAACATTTCTTAATTGTCAGAGTAGAGCTCTTGCACATCTTTTACTAAGTTGCAATATTTTATTTATTTATTTTTTTAAAGACTTTATTTATTTGACAGAGAGAAACATAGCAAGAGAGGGAACACAAGCAGGGTGAGCAGGAGAGGGAGAAGCAGGCTTCCCGCTGAGCAGGGAGCCCGATGCGGGGCTCGATCCCAGGACCCTGGGAACATGACCCGAGCTGAAGGCAGACGCTTAACGACTGAGCCACCCAGGCGCCCCGCAAAGATTTTTTTTTTAAGATTTATTTATTTATTTGAGAGAGAGAGAGAGCACAAGTGGGAGGGGCAGGAGGAGGGACAGAGAATCCTCAAGCAGACACCAAGCTGAGCACAGAGCCCGATGTGGGGCTGGATCTCACAACCCTGAGATCACAACCTGAGCCAAAACCGAGAGTCAGACACTTAACTAACTGACTGTGCCACCTAGGTGCCCCTAAAGATTTTTTTTTTTTAAGTAATCTCTATGCCCAATGTCACGCTTAAACTCAAAACCCACACAAGATTTGCATGCTCCACTGATTGAGCCAGCCAGCCACCCCTGAATTTTTTTTTTAAGGAAGCTCTATGCCCAGCCAGGTACCCCTAAATGAAATTGCAATTGTTTTCCAGGGGTGCTTGGTTGTCTCAGTCCATAGGGCATGTGACTCTTGATCTCAGGGTGGTGAGTTCAAGTCCCACCTTGTGTGTAGAGATTACTTAAAAATAAAATCTTTAAAAAAATAATAAATTGTTTTCCAATTGCTTCCTGATAGTGCATAAAAGTTTATATTTTTAGGGGCACCTGGCTGGCTCAGTTGGTGGAGCATGAGACTCTTGATCTCGTGGTTGTGAGTTCAAGCCCCACATTGGATGAAGAGATTACTTAAAAATAAAATCTTTGACCAGGAGGGTGGGGGGCAGTTACAAATAAAAATGAAAATAAAATCTTCCTTTTTTTTTTTTTTTAAGATTTTATTTATTTGTCAGAGAGAGAGAGGGAGAGAGAGAACAAGCAGGGGGAGTGGCAGGCAGAGGGAGAAACAGGCTCCCCGCCGAGGAAGGAGCCTGATTTGGAACTCTATCCCAGGACTCTGGGATCATGACCTGAGCTGAAGGCAGACGCTTAACCAACTGAGCCACCCAGGCATCCCGAAAATAAAATTTTTTTTAAAAGTGTATATTTTTATATTTACTTTATATTCTGAGATATAAATTCACTTATAGGGCGCCTGGGTGGCTCAGTCGTTAACCGTCTGCTTTCAGGCTCAGGTCATGATCCCGGCGTCTTGGGATCAAACCCCGCATCGGGCTCCCTGTTCTGCAGGAAGCCTGCTTCTCCCTCTCCCACTCCCCCTGCTTGTGTTCCCTCTCTCGCTGTGTCTCTCTCCATCAAATAAATAAATAAAATCTTTAATAAATAAATAAATAAATAAATAAATAAATTCACTTATAATTTCTCATAGTTATGATATAGGTCCATTAAGGCTTTCTATGTAAATAATCATGT